TCTACTGGACCTACGCTATGCACCACGCCGTGCGGGTGCACAACCTGCTTTCGACCACCGCCATCACCGGCAATCTGTCCCCGCACGTCAAGTGGACCGGGACTAAGGGGGACACATCGATGCTGCGCGTATGGGGATGCATGGTGCAGTACCGCCCGCCAACGTCAACTATTGGCAAATTCGCCAGCCGCGCGCGCTGGGGAATTCACCTCGGCATCAGCCACGAACACAAGGCGTGGATCGTGCTGGACCTCCTCAGTCAGAAGACTGCCAACGCTCGCGACGTCATATTCTACGAACGTCTCTTCCTCGACCAATTCCGCCGCGACGAGCAAGCGAACGCGAATCGCGTCTATACCAACGATGGCCACAGCTACGCAACGCCTGAAGACGAAGCCGCTGCAGCAATCCTGGAGCAGGATACAAGGGGAGAATTCGCATGGGAGGATCGGCGAAGCAGCGACGACGACGACGACTCCTCTGGAGGAGGAATCGGCGGAGCAAGTGGAAGCGGAACAGGCGGAAGCGGCGGAGGCGCAGCACCACCAGCACCTGACCCTGAAAGCGACGACGACGATGTGCAGGAAGTCGTCCCGCAACATCGCCACGACAGCACCGTCTCGGGACTGCAGCTGCTCGGACTTCACGCTGCAACCTCGAAAGCGCCACGCGTCATCGAGCCCCGAAATCCGCGCGAGGCCCTCTCTGGACCACACAGCAAGGAGTGGCGCGAAGCGATGGACGCGGAAATCAAGGCACTGGAATCACGCGACACCTGGGTGCTCGTCGACCGCGCAGCAATCAAAGGCGCAAGAATTCTCTCGGGGAAGTGGGTCTTCCGCGTGAAGACCGCGGCGGATGGAACGATCGAGCGCTTCAAGGCGCGCTGGGTGGTTCGCGGCTATGACCAGAGGCATGGGATCGACTTCGACCAGACATTTGCCCCAGTCAGCCGCCACACCTCCGTCCGCATCCTGCTCGCCATCGCAGCTGCAAGGCACCTGCCACTCCGTCAAATCGACGTGAAGAACGCGTTCCTGTACGCGTTAGTGGACGCCGTGATCTACGTGGAGCAGCCACACACCTACGGCGAAGGGGATTCGCGTGTGTGTCAGCTGCGCAAGTCTCTCTACGGCATCAAGCAGGCTCCGAGGCTGTGGCAGCAGTACCTGCACAACATCCTGCTTGAAATCGGGTTCAAGCAGATGCCGCATGATCCAGGGATGTACCGCCGCGACTTCCGCGGGGAATACATTCTCCTCACCGTGTACGTCGACGACCTGCTTTACACAGGCTCAAACAATGAGCTTCTGGAGCAGTTCGAGAAGGCCTTGGCGGGGCGCGTCGACATCACGTGCAACTACGAGGTGAAGCAGTTCCTGGGCCTCAACATCTCCTACGCACCTGAGGCCATTCACCTCTCAGCGGCTAAGTACGCAGAGGAGTTAGGGAAGCGATTCAACATTTCACCTGCGCCTCTCTCAACTCCCTACCGAACCCCCGGACCGAACCACAAACCTGACAACAAAGCCCTATCCCCTGCTGGGATTCAGACTTACCAGCAGCAGCTGGGATGCCTCCTCTTCGCCTCTGTCACCTGCAGGCCAGATCTCTCCTACATTGCGAGTCAGCTCGCGCAGTACTCACGCAAACCAACGGCCGAGAATCACCTAGACCTGCAGCGCGCCCTTCAATTCTTCGTTTCAACGCCCAAGATTGGGCTGTGCTACTCAACTGCACCAACTCCATCCTTCAACCTCATCGGCTACGTGGACGCCGATCACGCAGCAGACCCCGACAATCGACGGTCCAGGACCGGCTTCCTGTTCCGACTCGAGCCATCGGGACCAATCTCCTGGAATTCACAGAAGCAGGAATTGGTTGCCCTGTCATCCGCCGAAGCAGAATTTATCGCAGCAACCGCAGAAGTTCGCGAGAGGCGAAAATTCCGACTTTGCCGAGCTTCCGCCTTCACTTCGATAACCAGAGCGCGATTCGTATCGCGAACAAACCTGGTTTCGTCAACCGCACCAAGCACATTGCGCTGCGGTACTTCTTTGTGAAGGACGAGGTGGACAAGGGCAAGGTCAACTTGACCTACTGCCCGACGGGTGACATGGCAGCGGACTTCCTCACGAAGCGACTGCCACGCCAGCAGTATCAGCACTGCTCCGAACTCAGCGGCGTGGTCAAGCAGGTCAAGTCGAGCTACGGTCAGGAGTGAAGGGGGGTGTTACGAATAGTAATATTTGATATTACTGTGCACTCCTCACCGCAGCAAAGAGAAGCACGCAGTAACGAGAATGAACGCGAACCGTCAGACGGTTGGAATTGACTCGAAGCGACGGACAGTTGGGACGCATCTGGACCGTCGGAAGCAGACGGCATCGGGCAGCTGCAGGCAGGATGGTTTTGGCGGGAACAGTTACGAAACTGTACGCGCCGCACGGTTGGGAGTGAATTTGAATAAGGGAATGTACCCCTTAGAGTACATGGCTAGATAGGTCTGTTCGCATTCCCTTGTACTCTTATTTATATGACCTTGTTTGCATGTTTTTATCATCTCAAGCATTTACATTCACTCTGCTATTGAGATCAAGGGCCCACCAACTATTCTCACTGCGTGCGAACCTTCCTGGGTAGATCCCGGCCTACGATCAATCTCTGATCGCAGCAATTTCCAGTATGCTTTCTTGCGGTTGCTGCATTATTTTGTCCAAGCAATCCTACGTCAGGTCGGCGAGATTAATTCGATCTCCAACGTTGAAGGACGTCGACTGTCGTAGATGCTAGGCGCAGTCGTGGCTACATGTGTTTACGAGAGAGCATGAGGACAGCGACTCCTAGTACATCAAGGGCGTCTGAGCTTTCAAGCAAAAAATCAAAAGTCCGAGATTGCTGGTTGCAAAAAAAAATGCACGGTCTGAGTGGAAGGTGGCTATAATAGCTAAGTGTTACGAGTACAATCAATGAAGCGCGCGAGAATTGCACTAAGGGTCAAACGAGTACCAATAGGAACGAAGGCATGAGAAAACAACTTTTGCGAAAACAAACAAACAGTAACGTGGGCCTATGGGCTAGTTAGTGCGATGCTGGCGCAGCGAGGCTCGGACTAATTATGAAACGTATGCTGACTTGACCAGTTCCAATGGACGGTGCATGGTTTGGTAAAAGTGACGTGCGAAGTGGCCAAAGGCGTTAGGATGTAACAGACGAAGAACGGTCGGGGTATCAAATATTTTCCTTATAGTCCCTAAGGATAGAAAAGATAGTTACATGCTTTGTCATTTGTATAGTATATTTTCCAAACCACCGACACGCCACCACCACGCCTGTCGGATCAGGTTATAGACGGCATGCTGATGGCGAGCAGGGCTGGCAGGGAACGCGTTCGCTTACGTGTAGCCAAGTTTGCCTTCGACATGGACCGATTTCCGTCGCCAAGGTGTGTCGGCTTGGGCGAACACCTGTCCACTGGGCTAACGATTGTTACACAGCAGTTCGCAAATACTCGAAATATAGGCGCAACCGCTTGCGAACTCTGACAGCCAAACTGACAATCTCCTCCGCATTGGGCTAGGCAAGCCAAACGCGTTCACAACCTGCGTTCATTTCTGCATAACCTCTAGCAGCAATAATGTCCGCGTTCCTGAGTAGTAGTCACTCTGATGTGCGCGATCCACGCCACTGGTACGAGGCGGAAGCCTTTTCGCCCTGTGGCCCGTTGCGGAGTCTGAATCCCGGCTCGTCCAACCGCCACGCGGTTCGAGCCCCGTCATGGCCCCGTCCGTTTCTCCTTCCGCGGTCCATCGTGACGAAGGTCGTTCTCTCACCCTCCCCCCTCCCGTTACGCCGGACGCTGTGCGTCGCCGGTCTCCCCCCGCACGCGCCTCACCGTCTGAGATCTCCGCAATTGCGGAAACGAAACGCGTCACGATTCCGCGAGTCCACAGCGCGAGAGAAGATGAATCATAGGAAAAAAATGGAATCAATGTGCGCTTCACAACTCACTCTCAGCCTACATAACGACGCCCTCCAAGGAATCACAGATTCTCACGCCACTTCTCGCACACTACGTGCTTTCGTCTCCTCCTCCTGAGCTCGCACCATTCGAGCTCCCCCCAATCTCACCGAGTTGACTCGACTGAGCCTCAGTCGGATTACGAGCGAGAGTCCCTGCGGGTCGACACCTGACTCGCAAGAAATCCCGAAGCATTTTGCCTCTGCGCAGTGATCATTGATCCCGCCTCCCTGACTCCTGTAGAGCTAACGCTGAGCTAGCCGTCACCCATCCTGACCCCTTGCAAGCTCAATAGCGTTAGCTCTATAGACTCACCCGTCGTCATGATGGTTCGTTCTGGGCGGCGGTCTGCCGTTGGCGTTGGCGTTGGTGTGGGCGCACTCGTCGCGGGACTCGTTGCACTCAGCCTCCTCGCGACCCAAGCCAGCGCCGGTGAGTGCTGGATTGTAACGAGTGGGTAGCGAGGTGTTACATTTGGTCTCAGAGCCTGGGGTTCGATTCCCGGCTGGGTCACACTTTCTGCTGCGAGCGTGAAGCTGAATTTGGTAACCCAGTCGCGAGCCCAGTGAACGATCCGCCGCTGGGCTTGGCCCACCAGCGAAGTCCCTGAGTGCGCACGCTCAGCGAAGTGTTGACTGTGTGCACAGCGAAGTTGAGGTCCTTGCGAGGGGGGGCCGACTCCCTGCAGGGCCAACTAGGACGTTGGCTCCAGAGGAAGACGAGTGTAACGCCTGCGGGGCTTGGCTAAAATGTTAGGGTGGCTGCCGCCCACCACTGGCGGTGGATGGCTGCCGCCCAGTGGGTAGCGAGGTGTTACACGGATGGCTGCCGCCCACCACTGGCAGGTCAGAGCCGTGGGCAGCTGACGCATGCTCGCTCTTGCTTCTTTGCCTTCTTGCTCCTCACCCTCTTCACCACGAGGCATGCTTCTTTTCACTTGCCTACTTGCTTCTTACCACCACTTTTGCCCCCAGCAGAAATGTGTGGCAACGAGGAATGTATGAGTGGTGACCTCTGCCTTCGGGGCGATGATAACATTCCCCAATGCATCAACTTTGATTGGAATCGAGGTGAGTGCTGGAGTGGGTGGTTGAGAGCTGAAAGTTTGGATGAGTGCATCACTCGTTTGTTTAGCAAAAAAATCCATTCTTCCAACCCCCTTCTCCTCCACCAACCTCGGAACCGGCGCTAGTAAGTGCAAGTGGGCCCCAGCTAGGCGCCATGACTTAACGTGGCAGCAACTATGTTGTTTAGGTAGAAATATAAGTGTAAAGAAGGTGCTTGCTTGTAGATGGCGGCCCTCTTCTCCTCCACCACCCTCAGAACAGGCGCTAGTGAGTGCTGGATGGCTGCCGTGCCGCCCATCACTGGCAGGGAAAGACCATGGCCGCCCACCACTGGCATGGAAAGGCCATGGCCTCCCACCACTGGCATGGAAAGGCCATGATGACAGGGTATTCTTGAGAATGCTAAAAAATACCCTGCAGCATCACTGGCACGGAACGGCCAAGGCCGCCCATCACACTGGCACGGAAAGGCCATGATGGCAGTTGACATGATGTGCAATGGTGGTGAATGCAGGAGACTGGGTTAGAGCTTGAGTGTGGGAAGCCACGTGTAAAAATATTATTTTTGAGACGTCTCAAAAATCCCTGCAGCATCACTGGCACGGAAAGGCCATGATGGCAGGCGACGACATGATGGCAGGCGACATGATGGCAGGCGACATGATGTGCAATGGTGGTGAATGCTGAGACTGGGTTAGAGCTTGACTGTGAGAGGGAGATTGCATTGTTTTTTATCAATCAAATTATCCATTCTTCTAACCCACTTTCTTTCCCTCCCCCACCTCAGTGTCGCCGAACGACTGCTCCAATACGGGGTGTTTGGCAAATGGCTTCTGCTTTATGAACAAGGATAACCAGCCCGAGTGTGCTTGTAATGAAGGGCTCGTTCCCTCTGACTCTGAAATGGCGTGCGTTCCTCCTGGTGAGTGGTGGAGTGTTGGTAAGGTTGAGTGCAGGATTGTGGGTGAGTGCTGGATTGTGGGTAAGGTTGAGTGCAGGATTGTGGGTGAGTGCTGGATTGTGGGTGAGTGAGGGATTGAGGGTAAGGTTGAGAGCAGAATTGTGGGTGAGTGGTGGATTGTGGGTAAGGGCGAGTGCGGGATTGTAGGTGAGTGCTGGATTGTGGGTAAGGGTGAGTGCGGGATTGTGGGTGAGTGGCGGATTGTGGGTGAGTGCTGGGGCACAGCGGTTAAACGCACAAGTGGTTCTTCCCCTCTATTTACTAACTTTCCCCTCTATTTACTAACTTTCCCTGCTTTACATCGGAACAAACCCATTGCAAGGTGAGTGCTGGAGTGTGGAAGGGTGCTGGAGTGTTGGCGCTTGCTGTAGTGTGGGCTCATGCAAAGGACTAAGCAATGTCGTACATTTTACAAACTCCCTTGTTATTTTTTTCCTCAAAACCACAACGAACTGGAGTGGGGATGGGTGGGTGGGTGTCGGAGTGTGGATACAGAAATGTGGGTGGGTGGGTACAGAAATGTGGGTGGGTGGGTACAGAAATGTGGGTGGGTGGGTACAGAAATGTGGGTGGGTGGGTACAGAAATGTGGGTGGGTGGGTGGGTACAGAAAAGTGGGTGGGTGGGTGGGTACAGAAATGTGGGTGGGTGGGTACAGAAATGTGGGTGGGTGGGTGGGTATAGAAATGTGGGTGGGTGGGTGGGTACAGAAATGTGGGTGGGTGGGTACAGAAATGTGGGTGGGTGGGTACAGAAATATGGGTGGGTGCTGTGCTGGAGTGTGTGTGAGAGGCGAGGTGTGGATGGGTGCTGGAGTGTGGGTGAGAGGTGGAGTATGAATTATTGCATCGCCGTTCGTTGGCTATCAAAATGTCCACCTTTTCCCCCCTTTCCCTCCATCACTCACTGCAGATCTGAACATTCCTCCTCCTACTGAAAACCCCACTCCATCCTGCAACAAAGTCTGTCCGAGCGATGCCCAGTGCATTGTGATTTCTGACAACACTTTCAGCTGCCAGTGCACCGCGAATGGCTTTACCTTCAGCGAAGCCGACCAGCAGTGCCATGGTGAGTGCTGGAAGCAGGAGCATAGCAATCAAATGCACACACGGTGTATATCACTTTGTGTCAAGAGTACTGTTGGTGTCATCCAAAATTATTGGACGACCAATGATATTCCAACAGTGGAACTGAAATGTGCTCTATTGGTCGTCCTAGAATCTCGGATGACACAAACAGTTGTCTTGACACAAAGTGAAATAGCCAGTGTCATCACACCCAACTTCTGCTCCTAGTGCAAGCAACCCACCTTTTTGCTTCGCATCCTCTCGCTTCCGCCCGCTTTCTTATCCCTCTTGTTCCTACCCTCTTTCTCTGCTAGCCCCCTTTCTTGGCGGTAAGGTGCAGAAGTGTGGGTGGGTGGGTGGGTGCTGGAGTAAGGGTGAGAGGTGGAGGATGGGTGAGTTCATCATCGTTCGCTGGCTAGCAAAATGATCGCTTTTTCCCCCTTCCCCTTCCTCACTCCAGATCAAAACACTTCTCCTACTAATCCAACCCCCACTCCATCGTGCAACAAAGTCTGTCCGAGCGATGCCAAGTGCATCGTGCTTGCTGAGGACACTTTCAGCTGCCAGTGCAACACCGACGGTTTTACCTTCAGTGAAGCCGATCAGCAGTGCCATGGTGAGTGCTGGGAGCACAGCAGTCAAATGCACCCTCGCTCATAAGCAGTGGCATGGCAACCAACTGGTGAGAGTAGTGCTCCCCACTAACCTTCTTGCTCTTGCGTCCCTCGCTCTTGTGTCCCATTCCTCTGGCTTATCACCTACTTTCTTCCCTGGGTGAGGGGTGGAGTGTGGGTGAGAGGTGGAGTGTGGGTGAGAGGTGGAGTGTGGGTGAGAAGTGGAGTGTGGGTGAGAGGTGGAGTGTGGGTGAGAGGTGGAGTGTGGGTGAGAGGTGGAGTGTGGGTGAGAGGTGGAGTGTGGAGCTTCCCCCATCCCGCTCTTGCTTCCCGCTCTGAAGGATCTGTCGTCGTCAGCAGCTGATAAGCTGTGGCATGGCAACCAGCTGGTGTTCGTCGTGCATCCCACCCACCTTGCTTCTCCCACCCCATTCTTTCTTTCCATCCCCTCGCATCTCATGGCATTCTTTTCACTGGGAGGGTGCTGGGGGTGCGAGAGTTTGGGTTAATGCACACAACACAATCAGGTGAAGTGTTGGTGGGTGCTGCTGGAGTGTGGGTGAGTAGGTGTTGGAGTTTGGATGGGTGGGTGTTGGAGTGTGGGTGGGTGGGTGTTGGAGTGTGGGTGAGTGGGTGTTGGAGTGTGGGTGGGTGGGTGCTGAAGTGTGGGTGGGTGGGTGCTGAAGTGTGGGGGGGTGGGTGCTGGAAGTTGTGACTGCGTAACAAAGAGTGAGAAGCAAACCCACGATCCGCCTCCCTATGCCACCTTGATTGTTCCCTTTCTCAATCACTTTATATGCCTGGAATTGTTTTTTCGTCTGTGGCTTTTCACGATCATATGTAACTTAATTTTGGGTGTTCTGATTTTATCTTGTGTAACTTGTTGCCCCTCCTGTGGTTTTCTGTCTGCGGTTTACCCTTTTCCCACAACAGCCCTGTCCGCAGGGCCGGCAACCCCAACGGCGCCGTCCGCAGAGCCGGCAACCCCAACGGAGACGGCAACCCCAACGGCGCCGTCCGCGGAGCCGGCAACCCCAACGGAGACGGCAACCCCAGCGGCGCCGTCCGCTGAGCCGGCAACCCCAACGGCGCCGTCCGCAGAGCCGGCAACCCCAACGGCGCCGTCCGCAGAGCCGGCAACCCCAACGGCGCCGTCCGCAGAGCCGGCAACCCCAACGGCGCCGTCCGCAGAGCCGGCAACCCCAACGGCGCCGTCCGCGGAGCCAGCAACCCCAACGGAGACAGCAACCCCAGCGGCGCCGTCCGCTGAGCCGGCAACCCCAACGGCGCCGTCCGCAGAGCCGGCAACCCCAACGGCGCCGTCCGCAGAGCCGGCAACCCCAACAGCACCGTGTTCCAAAGATTGTGGAAGTGCCAAGTGCGTTGTGGAGGAGGGCAAGGCCCAGTGCAAGTGCCCCTTGGGTCTCGTGTTCAATGAGGCTGAGAAGACCTGCAGCAATGCGTATTACACTCCTGGTAGGTGTCTTTGTCTCTTGTTGCATGTTTGAAAATATAGCCTGAAATAAAAACTTCCCGAAACGTCTAGTTAGATTGATGCTAACTCCTTCCCCCCTCCACCCATGGCAGCGGCAGACCCTTGTAAGGCGGGCACAGTGAAGTGCGGCAAGAACTCAAAGTGCGTTGTGAGAGACGGAAAGGCGTGTTGCGAGTGTGACGCCGGCTACACCAAGAGGAACGGCCACTGCACTGGTGAGTTCATCTAGAGCTCTGATTCAAAAGCTGGTGACCGAGAGGTCTGCACGTCAAGAGATAGTGCATGGGTTCACAGTCGCTTTATGAGATAGTGCAGTCGCTTCATGTGAGTTTATCTCCAGCGCAGTGCTTCTGAGGGGTTCTGTGGCCTCCTTGTGCCCCTCCTCCTTCCAATCCCCTCCTCATTTTTCCTTCCGTGAACCCCAGTCAGCTCATACTCTCTCCTCCCTCCCCCACCTACCATTCATCACCCACATCCCACCTATGCCAGCCATGTGCAAGCGGGCCTGCCCTGTGAATGCCCAGTGCATAGTGGTGGGAGGAAAGGCGGTGTGTCAGTGCAAGAAGAGTTTCAAAATGGAGAAGAACAAGTGCACACGTAAGAGAGAGAAAGGGGTATCTTTCCGTGAACGCCAGTTTGACTTATCCCACCATCTCCCCCACCCATATGCACCCATGTATATCCTGCATGACACATCCGTGCCGTCTACTCCGTTTGTATGCCCTCCAACTGTTTCCCACACATCATTCAAACCCTTCCTTCCCTTCCACCCCTCCGCCCCTCCACCCCTCCACCCCTCCGCCCCTCCACCCCTCCACCCCTCCGCCCCTCCGCCCCTCCACCCCTCCGCCCCTCCACCCCTCCACCCCTCCACCCCTCCACCCCTCCACCCCTCCGCCCCTCCACCCCTCCACCCCTCCACCCCTCCACCCCTCCACCCCTCCGCCCCTCCACACCTCCACCCACCACATGTGGCAGCTGTATGCAACACTGCCTGCCCTGCCAATGCGGAGTGCAAGGAGGTGAAAGGCAATCCGGCATGTCAGTGCAAGGCAGGGTTTCGAATGTTGAAGAACAAGTGCACACGTAAGTTCCAAGACACATGCACCTGTTTACGTGTGCACCTTCAAGACACGTAAGTCACCACACCACACACAACCTATGCTTTTAAGCTACTGCAACCATAAACAACCTGGCTGTCATGTTTGTGCCATCCAGCACTGCTGGTACACACTCATCCCCTCCGCACTCACTGATTTGCATTCTTCCCACTATCGGCCTTTCCCCATTGCATGTGGCAGCCATATGCAAGGGCGGCTGCCCTGCCAATGCGCAGTGCAAGGTGGTGGGAGGAAAGGCGGCATGCCAGTGCAAGGCAGGGTTCCAAATGGATTATAACAACAAGTGCTCTTGTAAGGGATAGAAAGGGGAGGGGGAGAGGGAGAGGGAGAGGGAGTGGAAGAGGGAGTGGAAGAGGGAGTGGCAGAGGCAGAAGCAGAGGGAGAGGTAGATGGAGAGGGTATCATCTCTTTCCTGTGTTTCGCTAAATGCCGTTATCATTTGCTTCACTGTATTATCACCACACATCCTTACCTCGTTAAATTATGTTTCCATCATCCACATTTTTCTCCCCTAGCTGATCATTCCGTTTCTATCTTCCATCTCATGTCACTTCCCTCCCGTTGGATCATGTCCTGCGTTGTGGCCTCCCTCTCGTTTGCCTTCTCTTTTCAACTCAGAGAGCTGGTCTGATCATGTTCACTACAAGGAAATCGGAGGACAAGGGAAGGAGGTGCAGCTGCCAGCTCTAAAGAGACATGGGATCGAGGGGGCTGGTGTCGCTGCAGTGCAGTGTGAGCAACTGGACAATCCTGTTCGGGGCCAGGAACCAATTTGACTAACGGTGGCTGAGTCATTTGGTGCTTGGTCCGCGTGTTGTACCGTAGAGCGTGACTTATGCTTGGATAGTTTGCTGCACCTGAATTTTTGCTGCACCTGAATTTGTGTTTTGTGTGCCAGTGTGGATATCTGTTCTTTTTGGTTGTGTTTCGTGTGCCTGAATTTATCTTCATCTGCCAAATGTCTGCGTTGCTTTGGGTCATCTCGACCTTTGGAGTTCATCCTCATTACCTTGCCTCAGTTACGTTTCAGCAATGTAGGTACGTACTTGAATTAATTGCATTATCAGCATTAACACTAAGAATTTATGCTGTAGTCTATGTTATCACTATGAAATGCTATAGTTTCTAAACATATGTACCGTATGGGTACGAACGACTCCGTTGTATAAAGTCATAAAATGCATCACATCTAAGTCCGGAAAGTACACTTTCAAACCACCAATATCTTATAAGGGGCAAGACCTTGTGTCGAGCCGGTAATAAGATTGGCCAGTTGATGGCGCGCTGACGGCGGGTGAGATCGGCGAATTAGGACAGTGGGTTCAGGCGGCCAGTCACCCGCATCACGAAACTCGCCGACGCAACGACCGATTTCAGTCGCCGAAGTGCGTCGAACTGATCCGTTTGGCTACGGAAAATTACATCGCGAACACTCGCAAAATCGTCGCAATCGCTAGTTACAAGGAATAGTTTCTTCCACTCTTACCATCCCGTCACCATTGGGCAAGGTTTGGAGAACGCGTTCAGGGTATTATCCATCTCAGCGATAATGCTTTATCCGCATCAGTGATAATGCATTCACCCCCGCAAATCCCGCAGTTCGCGACTCTGCTGTGCGCGAACGCGCCGCTGGTACCGCTAGAGGCGGATTCCTTTTCGGCCCCTCGTCGCGGCCCCGTCTCTCCTTATGGCGTCCCTTCCCCTAAATCACGAGAATCGCCGCTCTCTCAGCCTTCCCCCCATTGCTCCCTCCCTACGTCTATGTGCGTCCTTCTCCCTCCTCACGTGCCGCACCTTTTCGCAACGAAACAAAACGCGTTACATTGTCATTTGCGAGTCCTCAGACGCGATAGTCAGATCTATCAAATTAAATATGAACATAGAATCAATGTGAGATTGACCACTCTCTCTCCAACTCACAACATATCAACGATCACCTTCGAGCGCCCTCCTAATCCCACCCATTCCTCCTCGCAACTAAGACCGTGAATTCCTACGATTCGACTCCTGCCTGGAACGTCAATCCCTAAGTCAGAGACTTGCAAGAAGCCGAAGGCTTCGCATCGCGCCGTGACCGTTGCCGATCCCCGTCTCCCTGACTTTCCCATCCGTCACCCGTCGTGATGAAGCGCTCCGGGCGGCCCTGGTCTGTCGTTGGCGTTGGCGCTGGCCTGGGCGCGCTCGTCGCGGGGCTCGTCGCACTCAGCCTCCTCGCGACCCAAACCAGCGCTGGTGAGGACTCCTCACCTCACCACTGGGTGAGTCAAACCGGACGGCTGCCGCCCACCACTACCATGGAAAGGCCGTGGCTACCCACCGGTTCTCACTCCTTGCTTTCCGCACTCGTGCTCTTCTCACTCCTTGCTTTCCGCACTCGTGCTCTTCTCACTCCTTGCTTTCCGCACTCGTGCTCTTCTCACTCCTTGCTTTCCGCACTCGTGCTCTTCTCACTCCTTGCTCCGCATTCGTGCTCTTCTCACTCCTTGCTTTCCGCACTCGTGCTCTTCCTCACCCTCTTCCACAAACCCTCGGAGGCATCATGCTGCTTCTCACTCACCGCCTCATGCTCACTGCTTCACAGGCACTCGTGCTGCTCACCCTCCTCTTTTGCTCCCAGCAGACGAGTGCTTCTTTCCCTCTCTTCTTTACCACCTCTTTTGCCCCCGAAAGACGAGTGCTTCTTTCCCTCCTTCTTTACCACCTCTTTTGCCCCCGACAGACGAGTGCTTCTTTCCCTCTCTTCTTTACCGCCTCTTTTGCCCCCGACAGACGAGTGCTTCGGCTTGGATTGTGGGTTCAAGAACTGTCTTTTGAACACCTCTGACGACTTTTGGGACGTCTCAAGGCTCCCTTGCGTCTTACCTACCACCTCTTTTGCCCCCAACAGACGAGTGCTTCGGCTTGGATTGCGGGTTCAAGGACTGTCTTTTGAACACCTTTGCCCAACCCTTCTGCCTTGGCTCGGACGAAGAATGGACTCCGGGTAAGACTGGGAGGGAGGGCTGGAGAGTAGGAGGTGAGAGGTGGAGTCGGTTTTTTAGTCGACTCAAAAATCGACTTATCTGCGTGGGCTCGGGGGATGGATGAATAAAATCCGGGAAAGGCTGGGAGGGAGAGGTGGAGAGTAGTAGGAGAGAGATGGAGCATTGGGAGGGGTGGAGTGTGGGTGGGAGCTGGAGGGTGGATGAGAGCTGAGTTGTGTGCAAATACTGGGGCACAGCAGTTAAAATGCACGTTCACCCTTCTAATAACCCCCTTTCCCTGTCTTGACACGGAACAACTTGTCATTTCCCCTGCAGATGCATGTCTCAGTCAGAACCTATTTTGCGGGAAGGCAGCGTGACTTTTGAGGCGCCTCAAAAGTCGTTTAAAATGCACGTTCTCCCTTCTGCTATTTCCGTTTCCCTGTTTTGACACAACTGCATGTTCAACTTGTCATTTCCCCTGCAGATGCATGTCTCAGTCAGAACCTGTTTTGCGGGGAAGCAGAGTGCATTGTGCAGGATGGTGCAACACGTTGCCAATGCAGGGAAGGTTTCGTCTTCCAAAGAGATAACATCAAGTGCATTGTTGGTGAGTGCTGGAGTGTGGGTGACTGATGAAGTGTGGGCAGGTGGGTGCAAGGAGTGTGTGGCGATGGGTGCTAGAACGTGGGTTAGAGCACAGGATTAAGCTACATTTAAACTTTCACTGCTCTCTTTCCCCACTTTGCATCAAAACCTCTACAAATTCCCCTGCAGACGCGTGTTACAAATATGATTGCGGGGCAGCTGCTTCCTGCTCTGTGGGAGGCGATGGCGCTCCCAAGTGCTCGTGCAATGTCAAAGGCCTTATCTACGATGAAAAGGAGAAGTCATGCAATGGTGAGTGTTGGAGTGTGGGAGGGTTCTAAAGAGTGGGTGGGTGGGTGCAGGAGTGTGGGAGGGTGGGTGCAGGAGTGTGGGAGGGTGGGTGCAGGAGTGTGGGAGGGTGGGTGCAGGAGTGTGGGTGGGTGGGTGCTGGTGTGTGGGTGGGTGGGTGCTGGTGTGTGGGTGGGTGGGTGCTGGTGTGTGGGTGGTTCATGGAGCGTGGGTCAGTGCACAGCAAAGCCGTACATTCAGACCATTCCTTCCTCCTCTTTACATCGTGGCCACGAATCCCCTGCAGACGCGTGTTATCAATATGATTGCGGGACAGCTGCTTCCTGCTCTGTGGGAGGCGACGGCACTCCTAAGTGCTCGTGCAATGTTGTTGGTTACATCTACAACGCAGCAAGCAAGACATGCAATGGTGGTGAGTGTTGGAGTATGGGTGCGTACTGGGTGGGTGGGTGGGTGCAGGAGAATGGTTGGCTACACCTTCGCTTTATATGTCTGAGATTGTTTTTCTGTCTGTGGGGCGGTCACATGTCCCATAGAATGCGGAACTGCGGCAAGGCCCAATGCAAGTGCGCCTTGGGCCTCATGTTCAATGAGGCTGAGAAGATCTGCAGTTTTGCCTATTATGCTGCTGGTAGGTGCCTTCGTCTCTTGTTGCGTGTTTTGCCAGCAAACTAGTTAGCCCAATGCACGTGACCCGGAGAAGTGTCGTCCGAGAGAGAAATGCCCGTAAACGCCCTGTCAGGCTGACGCTAACTCCTTCCCTCCTCCACCCATGGCAGCGGCAGACCCTTGCAAGACGGGCACACTCAAGTGCGGCAAGAACTCAAAGTGCGTTGTGAAGAACGGGCATGGGAGTTGCGAGTGTAACGCCGGCTACACCAAGACGAACCGCCTCTGCACTGGTGAGCTCACTCAGGGATCTGCTTCAAGAGTTCAAATGGTCAAGAGTTCAAGAGACAGTCCAGCCTTTAGAGGCAGTTCACAGCGAGGAAAAGGGGGACGAGGATCACAGCGGCGCTTGTGGGGGTTGTGTGGCATCCTCGTCCTCCTCTTCCTCTCAAGCAATTCCTTCTAATTTCTCCCTTCGCTAACCCCACTCATCTTATACTCTTTCCTCCCTCCCCTACCCAGCACCTCCCACCTATGTCAGCCGTGTGCAAGCAGGCCTGCCCTGTGAACGCCCAGTGCACCGTGGTGGTGATGTGGCGTCCGTGTTCCATTCTTTCCATTCTTCATCCACTCGCTCCCATTTTCCCCACTGCCATCCCACTCAGCCTCATGCTCTTTCTCCTCTCCCCAAAACCCACACTTCCCTCTTATGTCAGCCGTGTGCAAGCAGGCCTGCCCTGTGAATGCCCAGTGCATAGTGATGGGAGGAAATCCGGTGTGTCAGTGCAAGGAAGGTTTCAAATTGGAGAAGAACAAGTGCACACGTAAGGGAGAGGAAAGGGTTTTTTTTTCCGTGCACACCAGTTTGACATATTCCACCATCTTCCCCTCCCACATGCACCCATGAACTACCCAAATGACACATCCGTGCCATCTACTCTCACTGTATGCCCTCCAACTGTTTCCCACTCACTCTTCAAGCTCTTCCTTCCCTTCCACCCCCCCACCCCGCGCTCATTGATATACGTTCCTCCCTCATCTCCCATGCCCGCCATCGCACATGGCAGCCACATGCAAGGGCGGCTGCCCTGCTAATGCGCAGTGCAGGGTGGTGGGAGGAAAGGCGGCATGCCAGTGCAAGGCGGGATACCAAATGGATTATAACAGCAAGTGCACTTGTAAGGGACAAAAGGGGGAGATGGAGAGGGAAATGGAGAGGAGGGAGAGAGAAAGGTGGAGGGAGAGGGAGAGGGTATATTACCTTCCCATTTTTTTCATTAACTGCCTTTTTCATTTCCTTCCCACCACCACCAAACCACATTCTTATCTCGTTGAATTATGTCTCCATCCACATTCGTTCTCCCCTTGCTGATCGTCCCGTTTCATCCTCCATCTCATGTCACTTCCCTCCGGTTGATCACGTCCTGCTCGTGGCCTGCCTTCCCGTTCGCCCTCTGTTTGCCGCTCTTTACCATAGCTTGTCATCCTGTTTCATCGTCTGTTTCATGTGACTTTTTTCATTGTGGCCTGCCCTCCCATTCCACCTCCCTTTGCCACTCAGAGAGCTCAACGTGTTCACTACAGAAGGGTTGATTGACAAGCATAAGATTTGCAAGCTGGAAGTGCCAGAGTGACATCACATCGGCAGGGGATGGTTGGAGCAGAGGTGATGCTTACATGCTTGGTTGGTTTGTTGCTGGTTTCCTTTTTTTGAACATGATGGCTGCGAAAGTGTGTTCAGTGATTTTCACAATCACAGCCTCTATAAGCTGCTAGGTGGGTTTGTGTGGGGCTAGCTAGTAAGGGACAAAATCACCAGCCTGGGTTAGCATAGAAATCCATCAATATTTCAATTTTGCATCCCATTCGAGCATCCCTATGCGCTAATTCTTCAGCATACTCCTCTTGTTCTTGTTGTCTGTAGTCTGCTTGTTCTTCAAGATACAAACGAGTCATCAACACCACAGCATGCTTGCGAGCAATTCCGACATTGTCGAAAATATCGCAAAACTCTTCGCCCACAGTCGGGAATTCAGAATCGTCCAATCAGGTTGCAGTTGAGGTTCCCCACAATGTTATCAAGTTTCTAAACCCGAACCCCGAGGGTTTTGTTGTTCAGTAAGACGGGGAGCTTGCACGTTCACTATTGCACAACGCTCTATGCGCCTAACGCATCACGCGGGAACAAGGAGCCGCCTCTATCACATAAATACGAGCGCGCTTTCAAGGCAGCCGTTACATCGCATGGCGAGCGCGTTGTGAGCCATCCCTGATACAGTGCATAGCCACCGTAATTCCGCTTCCGCTAACGCAGAAAAGCCCCACAGCGATGGGCTCGCGACGAGCAGCGGTGGACCGCACGTCGCTCCGAGAGGTCGAGACACGATTAACCTTAAATATCCACCCGTCGCGGTCCGGGAATGTAGTAGCGGGAGTGAAGGAGCAGCTGAACAACTCGCTCATGCGGTAAATCCACTAACACCGATGCGAGGCGGCCCGGAATGTAGTACTGAAGGCCACTAGCTCTGATGCCTGACGATCTGAAAATATAGTAGCAGGAGTCAAGGAGCAGTTAAAGAACTCGCGCATCCGGTAATTCGTCATTTGCTCGTGCCATGAGTCGCTGAATGGCTCGTTTTATCTCGTGAAGCTTCTCGCCTCGTGTACCGCCATTCTCCCCATTTGGAGTCTAGGGTTTCCTCGCGCGCACTCGCGTTCCTTCACTTCGAAACGTTTGCGGGCCTTATGAGAACTCTCCGCCCACGCTATCAGAATCACAGCGTTCTCTTTTGATATTACTGTGATCTCAATAATCCAACACGCCTCGTGTGCGTCGCGTCGCGTCGCGTCGCGTCGCGTCGCATCTGCTGCGAGCGGCCTTACTCCGCTCCGTGACAGCTGCGTGTTTTAAAAATTCACATAGGCAACGAAGCGAACAGAACGTGCAACTCCCATTCAGCATTCTTTCTGTCCCCCTTGGACGAAAACCAACTCCCATTTCACCTCTTCTCATCCCACCCTACCCCACTCGCTTGCTATGTTCCCCCGTGCGGCCTTCTCTTCCCTCCCCTGCGGCCTCCCCTGCGCATTTGCAATGATCCCCCTGCGACTTCCCTTTCCCCTCCCCTTCCCCCCTGCCCTTCCCCCCTGCCCTTCCCCCCTGCCCTTCCCCCCTGCCCTTCCCCCCCCCCCATTTCCCCCTGCCCTTCCCCCTTGCCATTCCCCCCCGCCATTCCCCCCTGCCCTTCCCCCCTGCCCTTCCCCCCTGCCCTTCCCCCCCGCCATTCCCCCCCGCCATTCCCCCCGCCATTCGCTTCCCGTCAGGTACAGCGAGCAGCACGGCGGGCCGCGGGATCGTGCTGGCTATTCCAACGTGCAGCGTGGAGCCTCGAGTCAGCACTCTGCATACCCTTTTCTATTATGATCCCCCCTGACCTCCCCGTCCCTCCCCCCCAGGTACAGCGAGCAGCACGGGGACATCGTGCTGACCTACTCCAACGAGCAGCGTGGAGCCTTGAGTCAGCATTCTGCATTTACTTCTCTATTATGATCCCCCCTGACCTCCCCTTCCCTCGCTATCAGGTACAGCGAGCAGCACGGGGGCATCGTGCTGGCCTACTCCAACGTGCTGCTGTTCGGCCGCACAGCATCTGCGTGCTGCGTGCATCCCCCCAGTCAGCATCTCCGTCTTTCTGTTCGTCTGAAGGCAACCAACTCCCTACTCACTGGCTTTGATGCTAAACCCGAAACCCTCTCCTCCATACCCCACTCGCTCCCCCCTCAGGTACAGCGAGCAGCACGGGGGCATCGTGCTGGCCTACTCCAACGTGCTGCTCTTCGGCCGCACAGCATCCATTCTAACCGGACTCAACCCCTACCTGCACGTCAGCCTCTCTGCGCGCCTGCTGCTCTTCGCCCCCCGGCCAGGAGCCTTTCTTGGTGAGTAGCAGCCCGGAACCAGGGGCGTCGGGAGTGGGGGTTGGGGAGTGGGGCGTGGGGAATGGGGAGTGAGGAGTGAGGTGAGGAGTGAGGAGGGAGGGTGAGGAATTAGGAGTCAGGAGTGAGAAGTGAAGAGTGGGGAGTAGGGAGTGGTGAGTGGATTGAGGAGTGAGGAGTGAGGTGAGGGGATGGTGAATCCTCTCCCTACCTGCCCTGCCTCCTCTTTCCTCTCCTCCCATCCCCTGTGCTCGTGTTTCTTTGCTCACCACTGGCCTCCGTGTCTCTCCCCACTCCCTACCCCTCCCTACCCCTCCCTACCCCTCCCTACCCCTCCCTACTCCTCCATCACTCTGCTCGCGCTGCTCTGCTCGGCCCTGTTGCTCCCGTGTCCCCTGCCTCTACCTGCCCCACCTCTCTTTTCCTCTCTGTTCCCCTCCCCTCCTCTCCTCTCCCCTATCCCTCCCCTACCCCTCTCTCCCCTTTGTGCAAAGGGTGTGGTGAACAATGTGTGCTGATCTGCTGCTCCCATGCCCCTCCTCTCCCCTCCTCTCCCCTCCTCTCCCCTCCTCTCCCCTCCCCTCCCCCTCCCATCACTGCCCTCCCATCTCATCACTGCTCTCCGCCGCACACCCGGCCAGATGCCGGACTTTTGAGTCGACTCAAAAGTCACCCGGCCAGAGGCCGGACTTCATCGCTCTGCTCATGCTGCTTTGCTCGGTACTTCTGCTCCCATGCTCCTCACCCCTCCCCTTACCTTACCTTCCCCCTCTCCTCCCAGAGGCAAGTGAACAATGTGGGGGCAAGTTTTATTGCTCTGCTCATGCTGCCCTGCTCACTACAGTTTCTTCTGTGTTGCTTCCCCCTACTCACCCCTACCTACCACTCCCTATCCTTCGCCTCGCACTCTCAGAGGGCGTGATGAACAATGTGGGGGCAGACTTCATTGGATTGCACGTGTTGCTCCGCTCACTACTGCTGCTTCCGTGTCCCTCCCCCTACCTTCTCCACATCGTTTCCCGCTCTCCTCCCGTCGCCCCTTTCCTCTCACCCGGCCAGAGGGCGTGGTGAACAATGTGGGCGCGGATTTCATCGGTCTGCTCCTGTTGCTCCGCTCACTCCCCTCCTCCTCTACCCTCCCTGCCCTCTCCTCCTCCCAGAGGGCGTGGTGAACAATGTGGGCGCGGATTTCATCAGTCTGCTGCTCGTGCTGCTCTGCTCACTACTGCTGCCTCCGTGCCTCTCCCTCCCCCTCTCTGCTCAGAGGGCGTGGTGAACAATGTGGGGGCGGACTTCATCAATCTGCTCGTGCTGCTGCTCTGCTCACTCCCCACCTCTTCTACCCTCCCTCCCCTCCCTCCTCTCAGAGGGCGTGGTGAACAACGTGGGGGCGGACTTCATCGGTCTGCTCGTACTGGGTGTATTCAACGCCGCTGTGCCCGATCAGTTCATGCGCTCCTGGCAGCATGTGGAGGAGGTGGGTGGGCGTGGGTGGGTGCATTGTTGTTGGCAGCATGCGTGTCTGTATGTCTGTGCTCAACGTTGCTGTGCCTGACCAGTTTATGCGCTCCTGGCAGCACGTGGAGGAGGTGGGTGGGCGAGGGTGGGTTCATGCATTGCTGCTAGCAAAATGCATGCCTGTATGTCTGTATGTTCAACGCCGCTGTGCCGGACCAGTTCATGCGCTCCTGGCAGCACGTGGAGGAGGTGGGTGCAGTGCAGTGCAGTGAAGTGCATACTTGCGCACTTGCATACATGCATTTGAGGTATGTGTCTCTCTCTTCAACGCCGCTGTCCCTGACCAGTTCATGCGGTCTTGGCAGCATGTGGAGGTGGGTGGGTGCAGTGCACTTGATGTGTGTGTGCACTGCACGTGCGTGCATATGTTATGTATGCATGTTCATCTGTCTGTATGTATGTAGTCTTCAACGCCGCTGTGCCCGACCAGTTCATGCGCTGCAGTGCACCCCCCCCTTCCTCCGCCCATCTCGTCCTATTTCCCATCCCTGTTTTCACATCCTCTCCTCCCATTTCGTGCGCTCCTGGCAGCACGTGGAGGTGGGTGGGTGCAGTGCACTTCTGTCTTGATGTGATGTCTGCACGCGCATGAGTATGCACGTTCATCTGTCCCTCTCTCTGTCTGTAGTCTTCAACGCCACTGTGCCCGACCAGTTCATGCGCTGCAGTGCACCCCTTCCTCCGCCCATCTCGTCCTATTTCCCATCCGTTTTTTCACCCTCTCCTCCCTTTTCGTGCTCTCTCTCATCTCATCTCATCCTTCCCTCCCAGGCCGCCGCCGATGACGCCGACGAGGATAATGGCCAGCAGCAGCACTGGCAGCACAAAGAAGGCCCTTTTGAGTCTACTCAGAACCCACCTCCTCTCCTCTCTTCCCTTTTGTGCTCTCATCCTTCCCAGGCTGCCACTGATGACGCCGACGAGGACAATGAAGGCCAGCAGCAGCACTGGCAGCACAAAGAAGGCCCTTTTGAGTCGACTCAAAACTCACCTCCTCTCCTCTCCTCCCAATTCGTGCTCTCCCTCATCTCATCTTTCCCAGGCTGCCACTGATGGCGATGACGAGGACAATGGCCAGCAGCAGCACTGGCAGCACAAAGAGGACCCCTCCCACCGCATTTCCGTGGGCTCTCGCATTCGACTGCAAGTAGCAAGGTGAGGGGGCCAGGTGAGAGGGCCAGGTGAGAGGGCCAGGTGAGAGGGCCAGGCCAGGTGCATGCAATGCACCGTGCAGCACTGGCAGCACAAAGAGGACCCCTCCCACCGCATTTCCGTTGGTTCCCGAATCTGACTGCAAGTAGCAAGGTGAGTTTTTTCTCACACTCTCAAGTGTCTTCGCCTTCTTGAGACGTCTTAATGAACATTCGAGTGCGGGTGGCCATGGGAGGGAGGGGGCTGGATGCCATGCAGCATGGGAGGGAGGCTTTTGAGGCGCCTCAAGAGCCTTCTTGAGATGAGATGAGACGCCTGAACACGCGAGTGCGGGTGGCCATGGGATGGGAGGGAGGGGGCTGAATGCCATGCAGCATGGGAGGGAGGGGGCTGGATGCCATGCAGCATGGGAGGGAGGGGGCTGGATGCCATGCCATGCAGCATGGGAGGGAGGCTAGTTGGTTCTTGAGAACTGATAGTGTAGTCCCCCGCGTTTTCAATGGCTCACGGATGCATGTGCAGGTGGCAGCATAGGGCTCACTCCACCAGCCCTCTCTCGTTCTCCCCGCCTGAGGAAACAGAGTTGACCATCCAGATACAGGGTGTGTGGATTTTACTTCTGAGAAATCTCAAAAGTAAAATCCGTCACCGGACCATTCAGATACGGGGTGTGAGGAGTGGGTGGCAGCACAAGGCGTACTCAATTCCCATTCCCATTCCCATTCCCAGTGCCACAGGCAACGGCACGTTGGTCCATCAGAGGGTCGTTAGATGATACAGATACGGGGTGTGTGGAGTGGAGTGGCTGGCAGCACACTGCATCAACCCTCCCTCCTTGCCACACCCATTTCCACCCCCAGTGCCACAAGGGACGGCACACTGATGTCCATCAGAGGGTCGCTGGACCATCCAAATACAGGGAGTGTGGAGTGGGTGGCTGCTCAGAGCTCACTCAGTCGACCCTCTCTCATTCTCAACCCTCCTGCCCCCCCTCCCATTCCCATTCCCATTCCCTCCCATTCACTATTCCCAGTGCCACAGGCGATGGCACGTTGATGTCCATCAGAGGGTCGTTAGATAGTGCAGACACAGGGTGGCAGAACACTGCCAGGAACCGAGGAGAAGCAGACACCACCACACGGGCAGACACACTTTTAACCCGCTCTCTCAATCTCCCTCCCTCCCTGCTGCCTCTATTCCCTTTCCCAGTGCCACAGGCGACGGCACGTTGATGTCCATCAGAGGGTCGCTAGGTGATCCAGACACGGGGCGTGTGGAGTGGTTGTCAGCACAGGACTCACTCACTCAACCGTCTCTCATTCTCACCCCTCCTGCCTCTGTTCCCATTCCCATTCCCATTCCGATTACCCCAGTGCGACAGGGGACGGCACGTTGATGTCCATCAGAGGGTCGTTAGATGATCCAGACACGGGGTGTGTGGAGTGGCTGGCTGCACACTGCAAAGAACCGAGGAGAAGCAGACACCACCACACGGGCAGACACAAGCACGGGCATGGGCATGGGCATGGGCATGGGCATGGGCATGGGCATGGGCATGGGCATGGGCATGGGCATGGGCATGGGCATGGGCGTGGGCGTGGGCATGATAAGAAGCAGGAGCAGCAGGAGCAGCTGCAGTTGGCAGTTGTAGAACCGCAAAGGTATGTGCTTCCTTCAATGCTTAATATTCTTTGCCATGTGCCATGTGTGATGTGCCATTTGCCATGTGCCATGCGCCATGTGCCATTTGTAATGTGTGATGTGTGATTTGCCATGTGCAATGTGGTATGTGTGATGTGCCATGTGTGATGTATGATGTGCCATGTGCCATGTGCCATCTGCCGTCCTCCTCTCATCCTCTCTCTGCTTTCCAATTCTTAAGCCTCCTTTGCGGTTTCTGCTATACTGGTTGGTCTGGTTCCTCTACCATCCTTGCACCATGCGCCATGCACCATGCACCATGCACCATGCACCATGCACCATGCACCGTGCACCGTGCACCATGCACCATGCACCATGCACCATGCACCATGCACCATGCACCATGCACCATGCACCATGCACCATGCACCATGCACCATGCACCATGCTCCATGCACCGTGCACCATGCACCGTACACCATGAGCCATGCACGCACCATGCTCCGTGCTCCATGCACCATGCTCCGTGCTCCATGCACCATGCACCATGCCGTATGCACCATGCTCCATGCTCCGTGCTCCGTGCCCCGTGCACCATGCTCCATTCACCATGCACCATGCACCATGCACCATGCTCCATGCACCATGCACCCTGCACCATGCACCATGCACCATGCACCATGCACCATGCACCATACACCATGCACCATGCACCATGCCCTATGCACCATACACCATGCACCATACACCATTTACAGCACACCATGCATAAACCGCATAAAATCCATTACACGCTCAATTCTTTCTTGCTCCTCATGTTTTGACTCAATTTGTTAGTAAATTTCACCTTCTCATCCCTTGCCCATTTTCCTTTCCTCTTCCTCCCCACCCCCCTTTCTTTCCTCCACCCCCCCTTCCTTTCTCCGCCTTTCGTCATCCATTCCAACCTCTGTTAACCCCTTGTTGCCAGCAGCACTCTCCCCGCCTCCACACCAAAGAAAAAGCGTAAAGCCGACCAAGCAGCAGCAGCAGCAGCAGCAGCAGCAGCAGCAGCAGCAGCAGCAGCAGCAACAACAGGAGCAGAAGCAGGAGCAGCATCAGAAGCAGGAGCATTAGTTCTAGCAGAGCACAAGACACCAGTCCCCACCAGCACCACAGCCGCTGCAACCCCCCAGGCATCCCTGGCCCCCTCGGCCACGGCAGCACCCATCGGGGATGCAGGCGGAAAGAAGAAGAAGAAACATAAAGCAGAACCTAGCAGCAGGAGCAGCAGCAGCAGGAGCAGCAGCAGCAGCAGCAGGAGGAGCAGCAACAGGAGCACTAGTATTAGCAGAACCCAGGACACCAGTTGCACCTGGCACCACTGTCACAGTAGCACCTTCAACAGCAGCACCCGAGACATCCCCAGCACCCAGCAGTGGTGGGGATGCAGGAGGGAAGAAGAAGAAGCGCAAGGTGAAGGAGGGGGATGTGTCTGCTGCTGCCCACACAGCCACAGCCACTCCCCCCAGTGCTGTGAAGGTGGCCGGTGGGAAGAAGGCAAAGAAAGCTGCTGCAGGCAGCAGCTAGCCTGCAAGAGTGCACTAAAATGGGAGCGGGGAAAGTTGGTGGAGTGTGGTGCTGTGACTGTTTGCAGCTCACATTGGTTTGGGGGATGTGTCTGCTGCCCACACACTTCCTTCCTCCAGCACTGTGAAGGTGGCCAGTGGGAAGAAGGCAAAGAAAGCTGCTGCAGGCAGCAGCTAGCTTGTGTGCGAATGCTGCAGTGGGAATGGTGAATGGTGGTGGAGAGTGGTGGAGAGCGGTGGAGGGTGGCTCTGTGTCTGTATGCAGCTCGCATTGGTTCGGCTGTTGTGTTGGGTGATTGTGCCACTCCCTCCAGCACTGTGAAGGTGGCCAGTGGGAAGAAGGCAAAGAAAGCTGCTGCAGGAGTAGCTAGGCTGTAGCCTGTAGGGGAGCGTTGAAGGGGAATGGTGTAAGGTGGTGGAGAGTGGTGGAGAGAAGTTCTGTGTCTGTCTGAGGCTCTCATTGGTCCAGGTGCTGTGTCAGGTGCTGTGTCAGGTGCTGCCGGTGCAGTGCCTTCGCCCAAGCTCTCTCTCGAGGTAGCCTGAGGAGCACTTCCGTTGAAGGAAACCAGTGAGAGTAGGGGAAGGGGAGTTGTTGTGTAAGTCTATGCCTGTTTCCTGTGCTTGTTTGTGCTGTTATACTTGTTATGTATGGGCAATGTCAGAATGGCTGCTTATCTGTGAAATAAAAGGCAATGTAAATGGATGCTACTGCTACTGCAATTGGGCGTGACTTTTTTGTGCCAGTGAGTGATGATAGAAGAGGCTGCTTCTGTTCTATGACTGGACCTTTTATACAAAGGATACACTTGCCAGCTGGTTCTGCTGAAGTGGTGACATAACAGTGCAATGCGTTTTCCTTGCTAACCACCTCGACAACCACTACTAGTGGCACCATGACTTCTCTCTTGGATAGCTTTGCAGCTGAACTAGCGCTCTCTTGAAGTGGGGTCAAGGACCCCCGCCCGCTCCTCTTCCTCGCTTTCCTACAAGCTCCTGGGTTGCTTGCTCTCTCTGCTGGCTGCCATGTTGCTCTCTCTGCTGGCTGCCACTCAATCTCTCCAAGGGTAGCTGATCTGCAGCAGCATTCTTGAACTAGCTGGAGCTGAAGAAGTTGCTGATAGTGGCAAGCACGCCCTGCTCCTCCTCCTCCTCCCTTCTTGCTTCCTCTGCTTCCTGTTACTCATCATTAATTTCAACTTCCTGCCACTCCTCTATTCAGAGGTCACCCCCCTAATTGGAGCTGAAGAAGTTGCTGATAGTGGCAAGCACTCCTTGCTCCTCTTCCTCCTCCTTTGCTGCGTCCTCTGCTTCGGCCTTCTTCTGTGCGTATCGCGCCGCTGCGATCCTCTCCGCCTCTGCCTTTGCCGCCTCTGACTTCTCATCCTGGCACATGAGAATGTGAGGTCGCAGCAAGATGTTCGTGAGAAAGGCAACACAGGATAGTGAATGGCAAATGTAAAGAACAGCAGATGTCGCCACAATGCTCTCTGCCTCTGCCTTTGCCGCCTCTGACTTCTCATCCTGGCACACTAGGTCACAACAAGACCACAAGATCGCAACAGGGTGGTGAATGGGAATTGTATTAAGTACAGCAAATGCATGTGCCGTCTCTGACTTGTCATCCTGGCAAAATGAGAAAGATGCAAACGGATGATGGAATTCGCAACACGTTGATGAGAACTGCATTGCGACGGTTATGACATCACACCGAGATGACAAAGGTGGCAATGGGGTGACAAAGTCACGAAGGAATGAAGGCAGAACTCTCCCCCCAACCCCCGCCACGCCACCCATGCAGCTTGAACCAGCCCAGTCCCACAGCCTGGATAACATAGGCCTCTCTACACACATCCAACCCAACCCAACCCAACCCAACCCAACTCAGCAGCAACGCACCACTTTCTTGTGAAAGAAGCTCATAAGGTACGACTCAGCCTCTTTCTTCTCCTCCTTCTTCTGCTCCTCCTCCTCCTCCCCATCATCCCATGAAAACAGGCTCCAGAAGCTGCTGCTCTCCTCCCCCTCCTGCTTCTTCCTCTTCTCCTCCTCGAGCCTCTTCCGAGCCTCCTCCTCCGCCTTCCGAGCCTCCTCGGCCGCCTCCCGAGCCTCCTGCTCAGCATCCTCTGGGGGGAAGTATGGCGCGACAAGGCCCTTGGCGATGTAAATTGCAATCTGCATCTTGATGGCGTCAGTGTTATCATGACTGGGGGTGGGGGGGAGGGAGGGGGGTTGGGGAGGGGGAGGGGAGGCGAAGGGGAAGGGGAATGGCATTGGGAACGCACAAGAGGAAGCGTGTACGACTGAGGCGAAATGAGCCCCTTGGTGATGTAGATCGCAATCTGCATCTTGATGGCGTCTGTGTATGACTGGGGGAAAAGAAAGGGGGAGTGGGAGAGCGACAGACGTTGGATTGGGTGGCAATGCAACGAGCCGCTCCTCCTCAGCATCCTCTGGCGGGAAGTAGGGCGCGACGAGGCCTTTGGCGATGTAAATAGCGATCCGCATCTTGACGGCGTCTGTGTATGACTGGGGGGAGTGTATGGCGGGAAGAAGGTGCGAAGGGAGTGGGGGAAATGGCATTGGGAAGAGAGGGGGGGAAGTAGGGAGCGACTAGGCCTTTGGCGATGTAAATAGCGATCTGCATCTTGATGGCGTCCGTGTATGACTGGGGGGAGTGTATAGGGGGAAGAAGGTGCGAAGGGAGTGGGAGAAATGGCATTGGGAAGAGAGGGGGAAGCATGGCGCGACGAGCCCCTTGGCGATGTAAATAGCAATCCGCATCTTGATGGCGTCCGTGTATGACTGGGATAAAAGGGGGGAGAGGAAGAGGGGGAAGGGAGGGAAGTGGCAAGGGGAAGGGGACTGACATTGAGAGCACAGGGGGATGCATGGCGCGACTAGGCCCTTGGCGATGTAAATAGCAATCCGCATCTTGATGGCGTCCGTTTATGACTGGGAGGAGTGTATTGGAGGGATGAGGGGGAGGGGGGAAGAGTAGGGGAATGGAAAGGGGAAGGGGAATGGGAGCACAGCACAGCACAGGAAGAAGTATCGATGTGTGATGTGATGTGAGGGTGGTGCAGGCAGGTAGGGGGATGAACGACGGAGGAGTCGAGAGCGGTTCAGAGGCTTACGAATCCGTCGGGGATGTATCTGTCGAGCTTGGCCTCCACCTTGTACGCCACCATCATCTCCACCCGTCGCTGCACGCCACGTGTCAGGTAGTTGGCGAAGTCCGAGAGGGCCTCCTGCCAATGGGGAGAGAGCAGCATGTGTGTCAACGGGGAGGTGGGAAGGGGAAGGGGTGGGGGGTGGGGGAGGGAGGGGGGGAAGAGGAGGGGATGTGTGAGAGCTGGGAAAATCGTGCAATCATAGTTTCTACGTGACTAACCAGCACCACAAAACGCCGCATTGCGCCTCTTTCACGAAACGCGCGACTGCGAGGACTCAGAGAGGATAATCGAGGAGAACTTGTGAGGCGCCTCAAAGAACAAAAGCGCGTCACGCGATGCCGAAACGCCGCAGGTCTGAATCGTGCGTTGAGGCACCTTCAGAGCCGCGGTGCGGCATCGCCGCGCAGCGGACCTGGCGAGTTCCGCCGAAGGCGGAATCCGCGCGCACTGGCGACGCGGGCCTCCGACCAGGCGCATTTTGGAAAAAGACTTTGACACTTCCAATTTCTAAAAAGGGCGTTGAAGGGGGAGCCGTCTAGACGTTATGCTGCATGACCAGCGGCTTAACTACCAGTTCCGCCGAAGATTTCTGTTTGATGTAGTTTTTTCGAACCTATGAAAAAAAAAATAGCACACACACTGCGAACTATGATGCTGTCTGTATGCGCCATGAATGAGGCCGCATTATGCGGCAGTTTATAGGCGCTTAATCTGCAGAGATCGATGCAGAAAATTAGGCGGCGTAATCATGCGGCACGCCCAACGGCCCTCGCGATTTCGCCGCGGAATTCGCTGAGACATCGCAGAGTTTCTCATTAAATCTTAGGGATGCGGCATTCCCAGCCGCATTAGTAGTATGACAAACAGCAGTACCATTATTCAAGGTTCAGCGGTGGCGCTGCGGCGAAGCCGGTGTGGTAGAAAGCAGGTGTGTTATTTCAGGAGTCGAAAGCGAAGAATGAGGGTGAAACGCAACGGAATGGGCGAGATAGAAATGGTGAGCAGGCAGGAGACAAGGCTGGCTGCGGTGTTCCTTGACTGACGCTTGCCCTGAAGAGGATGAGAACGAGGAGGAAGCAGCGATGTCAACATGAGCAAGCGGAATGAGATGGGAGATGAGAAGAGTCAAGCCGAAGCAGCAGCAGCAGCACCACCATCCCACCCAAACATGGATGCCCAGCCCTTCGATGGGGATGAGAGAGAAAAGTCAAGACGAGCATTTCGCGCCGACGTGATTGGTAGTTTGCGCGGGCTTGGGATGCGCCACGGATTGTCAGGGCGGGTGACCTCCCCGTTCAGTTATAGCGGTTCAGAACGATGCCATGCTCTGGTACGGTATATCAGGTTCACCAACTTGAACCGTTTCGAACCAATCTGAACATTTATACACGAACCGCGATTGTATTCTCAGTCGCAAACCAAGGGACTGAAGTGCGCCCCTTCCCCCGAAGGATTTCATTTCGCATGTCAGATGGGATCAAGTCATCTGAAGCTGAACCCATAATAATGCACTTTTCGGACTGGTTTGTTTTGACCCGTACACATGTGGCCCGCAATCAGTCGAACCAGGTTTCGCTTGGATCGAACAAGCTGTGTTGTTGGACTGAGTCAAACCATGGAAACTCCTCGTGATCGAATTAATACAAGGTAACATATATAGAAAGTTATTTCGCGAATCTATCGTGGGGCCACTAAACGTCCACGTCAATGTCCACGACGGCTTGGGATGTCCATAAGTATTTTCCCAAGATTCTTAGGTCTTACCCGTTGGCTTCAAGTCTCTTATCAGCACACGGCATACTTGCCGTTAGCGTCGTGTCTGTAGCCGACCCTTGCGGGGAAATTCAGTCATCTCTGTAGTCATTCGTCTGTAACGCGGCTTATTGCGTGAAGGAGCTGCCGACGCGCGCGCTGTCAGCCTGATTAGACGCAATAGTGTTCTGTCCAGCAACAAAGCAGCTTCAGGCGACTTCCGAGGCTTCCGCATTTCATTAACCTGTCGGCGTCCGTGTGCTCGGCGGCGAAGCGCATCCAGAAGGGTTCTGACCAGTAACGAAATCAGCTACAGGCGCGTACGCGTTTCATGAACCTGTCGGCTTCCGTGTGCTCGGCGGCGAAGCGCTTTAGAAAGATTGCTGACCAGTAACGAAGCAGCCACAGGCGCGTACGCGTTTCATGAACCTGTCGGCGTCCGTGTGCTCGGCGGCGAAGCGCATTCAGAAGGAGCTTGCGGACATCGGCGCGGAGCCCTCCGCGGACTGCTGGGCGGGGCCGAAAGGCGACAACCTCTTCCAGTGGGTCGCCACGCTGCTTGGCCCGCCAGGTAACGCAACGCGCGGGACTGATGTAACGCAACACGTACGCCGCATAATGCCTGGGTGCCATATTCCCTACCTACCTACCAATAACTCGAAAGGCGACAACCTCTTCCAGTGGGTCGCCACGCTGCTCGGCCCGCCAGGTGCGCGTCTATGTGTGACTATATCGTAACACGTGTGTGACTGTAACGGAACAAGTGCATGCGCCACATAAGCCAAAGTGCCAGGAACGCCCTACCAGTATCTCGAAAGGCGACAACCTCTTCCAGTGGGTCGCCACGCTGCTCGGCCCGCCAGGTAGTTCGCGCATGTATGTGTGACTATATCGCAGCGCCTGTGTGACTGTAACGTGGGCTCTGTCGGTTAGACCCCCTTTCGCCTCCTCCTTGCCCTGCACCTCTCACGCTTGCGGAGGAGTCTCTCCCTCCGAATTGCCTCCCCCCACGGACTTGCGTCCCCCAGCTCTGCCTCGTGAGTTGAGACAGACCCTTGTCCTTCACCACACCAAGCCGTTTCCGCTCTCCCGTTTTCCCTCCCTATCTCTCGCCTTCCATGCGCCCCCATTCCTCTCCTTTCATCCGCCAGACTCGCCGTATCGCGGAGGGGTGTACTTCCTCGACGTTGCCTTCAAACCCCTTTTCCATCACCACTCCCTGCCCTTCCTCCCCTCCCTCTTTTCCCTCCCTCGCTTCCATCAACTCTTTCCTTCCACTCTCCAGACTCGCCGTATCGCGGGGGGGTGTTCTTTCTCGACATTGCCTTACCCCTCAAACTCCTTTCCCTCCTCCTCACCAACCCCCACCCTCTCCTTCCCTTCCCCCATCTCTCTCCTTTCACACTCCACCAGACTCGCCGTATCGCGGGGGGGTGTTCTTTCTCGACATTGCCTTCCCCCAGGATTATCCCTTCAGGCCGCCTCAGGTAGGCACAAAACCCTCGACTCTTGCGGTATCTGTGAGGGAAGCAGCGCCCACTGCAGTGCCACGCGTACACCACAAATGCAGTGCCACGTTTACACCACCACCACTGCAGTGCCACGCGTACACCACTAATGCAGTGCCACGCGTACACCACTAATGCAGTGCCACGTGTACGCCACAAATGCAGTGCCACGTGTACACCACCAAAACTGCAGTGCAACGTGCCCTTCCCTATCCCGCCCCTACCCGCTCCTCCTCCTTCCCCCCCCCATGCAACGTGTTCAGCTCTATGTTGGAGTATACGCACACCTGTATTCCAAACTTAGGTTCCGCTTCAGCAGGCCAACCTTTCCCATTTCCGCTGGTCCCCGCAACATACCATACCTTCCCCCCATGCGACGTGTTCAGCTCTATGTTGGAATATACACACACGTATATTCCAATGTAGGTTCCGCTTCAGCAGGCCAACCTTTCCCATTTCCGCTGGTCCCCGCAACATACCATACCTTCCCCCCATGCGACGTGTTCAGCTCTATGTTGGAATATACACACACGTATATTCCAATGTAGGTTCCGCTTCAGCAGGCCAACCTTTCCCATTCCCGCCTGTCCCCACCCCACCCCCTTACCTTCCCCCACCTCTCGTCCCCTTCCTTGCATCCACCCAGGTGTGTTTCCGCACGCGCGTGTACCACTGCAACGTGTGCAGCGCCAGTGGTCGCATTCGGCTGCACCTGCTGGACGATGGCTGGAGCCCTGCCATGACCATCGCACGTGTGCTGCAAGCTGTTATTCACCTGCTGCGGTTCCCTGTACCAGGTGAGTGAGGCACTATGTATGTAGCATGGTATGGTGTGGGATTGTTCTTGTTGGTCGTCTGCTGGACGATGCCTGGAGCGCTGCCTGCCATGACCATAGCGCGCGTGCTACAAGCCATCATCCACCTACTCAAATTCCCGGTCCCTGGTGAGGCACTATCTAGGTAGTTAGGTAGCACAGCATTGTGTGGTGTGGTGTGGTGGGCGCATTCGGCTGCATCTGCTGGCTGCATCTGCTGGCTGCATCTGCTGGCTGCATCTGCTGGCTGGAACCCTGCGATGACCATTGCGCGCGTGCTGCAATCCGTCGTTCACCTGCTGCGGTTCCCGGTTCCTGGTGAGGCAGCATGGTATGGTGTGGTGTGGTGTTGGTTGGCTGCATCTGCTGAACGATGGCTGAAGCCCCACATTGACCATAGCCCGCGTGCTGCAAGCTGCTATTCATCTCCTGAGGTTCCCCGTGCCAGGTGAGGCAGCATGGCGTGGTGTGGGTTGTCAAGTTGGTGGTGTCCCATGTGTTATCTTGAAATGGCACTGTCCCCAGCCCCCAATCGTTTGTTTCCGCCCAGAGAAAGCACTGGTGGGCTGCATCGCACATTGCCGTGTGTGTGTCTCCCTCTCTCTTGTTACCCTGGGCATAATGCATCTTTGTGTGTGTTTGCCTGCCTGGCTGCCTTCCTCTTCGTGCTGCTGATATCTCACTTGTCTCAGAGGAAGCGCTGGTGGGGTGCATCGCACACCGCTTCGTGTTTGACCGCCCCTCACACGACCGCATCGCCGCTGATTGGACCAGGCGTTTCGCCACGTGATTGGTCGAGGCGGTTTGTCTCGTGATTGGAGGAGGAGCCTCGATAATCCCCACAGCGTGCCTCAGGGTTGCACAAAATCAAGCAGAAATCAAGCAGAAATCAAGCAGAAATCGATCAGAAATCAAGCAGAAATCGAGCAGAAATCGAGCAGAAATCGAACAGAAATCGAACAGAAATCGAGCAAAAATCAATTAGAAATCGAGAAGGAATTAAGCAGAAATCGAGCAGAAATTAAGCAGAAATCGAACAGAAATCGAGCAGAAGAGAAGCAGAAGCGAAGCAGAATCCAAGCAAGCAAGCATGCTACTCGCCCTCACACACCCTCCAGCGTGCCCCCACCCCATCACGCCCTATCCCTCCACTCCTCGTCCCATTGCAACCCCATACCTCCTCTTGAGAAGGAGGAGGGGTACACACATGAGGGGAGATACACCCATTTGCACCGCTGCAGAGTGGCCAGCTGTAGCCAGAGCAGGGGGAATGGATCTGTATCCGCTACACAAGATTTCCTGTCGCCATCGTCATCATCATTGTCAGCAGCAGCAGCAGCAGCAGCAGCAGCAGGGCCAGCAGTGTCTGAAGCATGTCAGAAAGGTTCCCCAATGGAGTTGCAAGTAGGGCGGCGCATTGTCATGCTGGGAGCCTCTCTTGCTGCGTCGGGGCTGGTTGGAGGGTCGGTGGCGGGGGTGGGAGTGGGTGCTGCGTGGGGGGTGGAGGCTCGGCAGTGGGGTGGTGACGGCAAGAGCGGCGAGGAGATTCGACGCATGAAGGACAACTTTGGGGTGAGTGAGGGAGTGAGAGAGTGAGTGAGAGAGGGAGTGAGTGAGTGAGTGAGTGAGTAGTGAGTGAGTGTGAGTGAGTGAGTGAGTGAGTGAGTGAATGAGGTATGATGTGCTCCTTCCTTGGTACTGTTTCCTGGTTGCTCCTTGAGGTGACTCAAAATGTTGCAAGATTTGCCCCTTGCACTGGCCTGTTCAGCCTCTCTTCGTTTCTCTCCCTCCTCTGCCCTCTGCCCACTGCTCCCTGCTCTCTCTGCTCTTCTCCTCACTATCTGCCCAGTGCTCCTGTATCGCTGCTCACTTACTGCCTCTGTGGGACCTTCCCACCAGATCATTCTTCTGAACGCGACAGAGGAGGTTCAGATCAGAGGGAGCTGGGAGCACAGACAGGCGCCTGCTCTTCTGTTCGCTGCTCATCTGCTCACTGCTTGTATTGCATCTTCCTCGCAGTTCCTGCTTCTGAACGCGGCAGAGGAAGTGCAGAGGGAGATCGGGGCCCAGACAGGCGCAGCGTATCAGAGAGAGGTGAGGCGGAGTGAAGAGTGAACCCGAGTACTTTCCCCCGTCCCCCCCACCTGTTTCCCTGCTGCGCCTGTCAGGTGCTTCTTATGAATGTGGCTGAAGAGGTGATAAACGAGCTGGGGATGAAGACTGGTGCTGACTACAAGAAAGAGGTGCGTGTAGGAAGGAGTTGAGTGCGGTTCGGGGTTGAGTGCAGGTGCGCACGAGTCCAGCTCAAGAAAGGGAGTTTGTATATGACTGTATCACTATAATGAATGTGGCAGAAGAGGTGATAAACGAGCTGGGGATGGAAACCGGTGCTGACTACAAGAAAGAGGCGCGTGCAGGCGTTCAGTGTGGTTCAGTGGGGTGGATGGTCTCTTTAATGAATGCAGCAACGATAACGAACTGGGGATGAAGAGCGGCACAAGAAAGAGCAATGCACCTTTGGATTGAGAACTGCGTTGAGAGCTCAGTCTGATAATCTCTTAAGAGGAGGGCAATGCACCTTTGGATTGGATTGAGGGCTCTAATGCGGGAAATAGGAACAACTTCAATCAATGATTAAGGAGCTTGAGGTGAAGTCGACCAGTGCGGCGGACTACAAGAAAGAGGTGCCAGTATGTGTTAAGTGCGATTCAAATGCGACCTCTACCGTCCCCTCCGCCCGCTTCCCCTTCTTCCGCTCTTCCCACCCTCCCTAACCCCTCACATCGCCAGTTCGTCAAGCCGCGCCAGTAGGAGTTTCAGCCGCTCAAGAAGGCCAACTTCAGCTGTTGAGTGGCACCCCCCTTCATTCCACCTGACCCTTCTCCCCCTCTGTCCCCTCCCTGCTTCCTTCTTTCCTTCCTCGTCGTCAGTTCTTCAGGCTGCGCCAGCAGGAGTTTCAGCCGCTCAAGAAGGCCAACTTTGGGGGGCTGGCGTCATTGGGGTAAGGCAGGGCTGCAAGGGGGAGGGTGGGCTGGCCTGCGGCAAGGATCAGAGAGTCCACTCCACACAACAAAGCATGTGCTTTCTCCAAACTGCTTTGAGGATTGGCCCTCCACCATGGAATCAGATCAGTGGAGGGGGAGGGGGTGGTAGGGGTGGAAAGGAGGGGAGGGGGAGGAGGGGGGTGTGGAGGGGGAGGGGGGGAGCAGAGCAAAGCAGGTAGAGATGGCTCGTTACTCCAGGCGGGCACGTGTCTCTAATGTTTGTGTGTTCATTCGTCTCCTCACCTCATTCACACATGACTGCGCATGTGTAGGGGAGAGAGGAGAAGGCCAAGAACACACACATGCGCTGCTTCCCTGCACTCCCATCGTTATCTACTGCCCTCCCCCCTTCCTCTCCTTTCCCCTCCCATCCCCTTCCCCCCCTCCCCTCCCCTCCCCTCCCCTCCCCTCCCCTCCCCTCCCCTCCCCTCCTCTCCCCTCCTACCCTCCACTCCCCTCCTCTCCCGTCCCCATCCCTCCCGTCCCCTCCCCTAACCTCCTCCTCCTCCCCGCCACTGTCCACGAGCAGGCCGAGCTTCACAGTGAACGATGTGCCTTACTTCAACTTCCAGACATACATCCAGGTGGGCATTAGGGTGCCGGTGGCACATCCAGCCCAGGTGAGCATGGTGTGCTCGACTCATCTGCACGCTGCTGCAATGCAACAGTCCCTACCTGCCCGTGCTGCTGCCCCACCTCACCTTTTTAGGCGATTCAAAAGGCTCTGCTGGAACAGTCCCTACCTGCCCGTGCTCCCCCTCGTCACGTGCCTGTTTTCCCGCCTCTCACTTACTTGTTACGCCTCGCCTCCCTTTCTTTCCCCCACCCACCTCCCCTCTCCCCACTTCCCCTATCCACCCTTACTCTCGCCTTGTCATCCCTCCCCCCTCCCTCCTTGCCCCACCATTCGTCTCTGCACCGCCAGTGGAAGCACATCGCGCGCCTGTTCCCCACTCTTCCTCTTTCTTGCTCCCCCATCCCCTCCCTTCGTCCCCCCCCATTCGTTTCTCCCCCCGCCCCTCTCCTCCCCCCCCCCCCCCATTCGTCTCTGCCCCTCCAGTGGAAGCTCATTGCCCGCCTGTTCCCCACACAGCGAGTCAGGGAGGTGAGTGCTCACCTCATCCCACCTCACCTCACCTCATTTCACCTCACTTCACACCTACCTTCCTATGAAAGCGGGCACCTGTGAAGAGCTGCTTAAATCCAGCCGCAATTCCTCGCACTCTCTTCATCTTTTTTTTTTTAAGGACATGAACTAAGTTCCATGTTCCTTGGATGTCAGCTGTTGGTTCGAACGAGTGGCACAAGAAGCACTCGTTTCTGTTTCAGTGTGTGCCCCCGCCCCCTTACTGGTGATGTTCACTTTCTTATGCCTTTTCGTACCACTTCCCTATATGTTTTTGGCAGGAGATCAGCTCCCGCCTGGGGAGGAAGCTGCTAGATCGAGTGGCACCAGAAGCACCTCCCCCTGTTTGCTCCTTCCCTTCGTTCTTACGCCTCTTCTTCCCCTTCTTCCCCCCCCCGTGTCTCTCTCAGGAGATCAGCGCCCGCTTAGGAAGAAAGCTTCTAGACCGAGTGGCACCAGAAGCAGTTGCCATCGCTCTTGCACTCCCCCCACCGTCCCTCTCCTCCTCCTCCTCTTCCTCCCCATCCTCCTCCCCATCCTCCTCAACCTCCTCCTCCGCCTTCTCCCCTCTCTCTCCCTCCACCTCCCTGCCATTCGCCCGCATCGCCACGTCAGCACCGCCAGTGTCATCATCAGCCGAACAGGTGGACGACCAGGATTGGCTGGACCCGCCGTCGCTGCTTTCGAAGCAATCCCTCCCACCAGCACCACCAGCAGCAGGAGCAGCAGTGGGGGAGGTTCGGCCAGCAGGGCTGGTGGCTGGGGTGGAGGAGATTCTGCAACGCCTGCTGGATGTGGGGTTTCTGCAGGTGGGTGGGTGGGTGCGAGGGCTGTGGTAGCTGTGGGTGGTGGGTGGGTGGTGCTGGGCTCATGCCTGGTGGCTGGTGGCTGGGGTAAAGGAGATCCTGCAACGCCTGCTGGACGTGGGGTTCTTGCAGGTGGGTGTGAGAAAGGTGTCAGGTCAGGTGTGTTGGTTGATGGTGGGGTGGCTGGTTGACTGCTGTGGGTTCGTGTGAGCAGAAAATGGGTGGGGAGCGCAGGGCCAGCAGGGCTGGTGGGTGGGTTAGAGGAGATTCTGCAACGCCTGCTGGATGTGGGGTTTCTGCAGGTGGGTGGGTAGGTGCGAGGGCTGTGGTAGCTGTGGGTGGTGGGTGGGCGGTGCTGGCCTTGCGGCTGGTGGTTGGTGGGTGGGGTGAAGGAGATTCTGCAACGCCTGCTGGGCGTGGGGTTTCTGCAGGTGGGTGGGTGAGTGAAAAGGGTCAGGGGTGTGGGGTTCGTAGTGAAGGGGGGTGGGGGCAGAGTAGGTGCAGGCGGCAGGGCTGATGGCTGGGGTAGAGGAGATCCTGCAACGCCTGCTGGATGTGGGGTTTCTGCATGTGGGTGTGAGAAAGGTGTCAGGTGTGTTGATGGTGGGGTGGCTGGTAGACTGCTGTAGGTTCGTGTCAGCAGAAAATGGGTGGGGGTGCACACGGCCAGCAGGGCTGGTGGGTGGAGTAAAGGAGATTCTGCAACGACTGCTGGATGTGGGGTTTCTGCAGGTGGGTGGGGGGGATGGATGGCTGTGGTAGCTGTGGGTGGTGGGTGAGTGTTGGGCTGGGCTGAGGTCATGTTGTCGATACTGCTGTTAGAGCAACCAAGTCCGCCACCACCTGCAGCAGCAGAAGCAGCCACAGTAGGGGAGGTGCAGCCAGCAGGGCTGGTGGCTGGAGTAAAGGAAATTCTGGACTCCTGCTGGACGTGGGTGGGGTGGGCTTCCTGCAGGTGAGGTGGGTGGGTGAAAGGAGGCAGGTGTGTTGGTGGTGTAGTGGCTGTTTGATTGACTGCTGTAGGTTTGTGTGAGCAAAAAAATGGGTGGGGGATGTGCGGCCATCGTTGCTGGTGGCTGGGGTAAATACGATTCCACAAAGACTGCAGGTGGCGGGGTGTGTGCGGTGGGATATGATATGAGTCGTGAGATGTCTAGTTTTGAGGCGCCTCAAAACTTGATATGAGTCGTGAGATGTGACTCGCACCACGCTATGCCAGTGCTCTCACTCCTCCCTCCCTGCGTCCATCCATTCACCTTCTGACTGGGCAGGCCTACACCGTGGAGTGGGTGGCAGCAGCAGGCGGTGGTGGGGCAGAGTGGGACAAGGATCGCCGTGGCAGCATGCAAGTGAAGGTGCAGGTGAGGTGGAAGGAAGGCGCAAGTGTGATGTGCATTAGCTTATCACTCGTCGTGGGTGTCTTATCGCAGCACGCAAGTGAAGTTGCAGGTGAACTGTGCACGCACTTATGAGGGAAAATGATAAGTTCTTTTCCCTTGATCATGCTCCTTTCCTCCCTACTCGTTTTCACGGTCTTCTGGAGTCTCACCCTAAACCCTCACTCACTTTCTCGCTCATTCCCACACTCACTCCCTCAAACACTCTCTCAGGGTCCGGCCAATCTGGATGGAGCAGTGCTGCTGCTAGCCGAGTGTAATTATGCTCAGGTGCGTTGTTGGGTTGTCACTATATGGCAGGTGCGTTGTTTAGGTGTGGCTATGTCGGGTGCGTTGGGTGGTGTTCACTAGATGACTATTAAAAACCCTTTCTGTGGTTCTCCCCCTAACGTAACTATCTCCATATAGCATCTGAAGTGTGGGATCTAGAGCTTCCTTTCCGTTCTAATCCCTTGTACCAAGTTCCTCCTCCCTTTCCCTCTCTCCTCCTCCCTTTCCCTCTCTCATCCTCCCTTTCCCTCTCTCCTCCTCCCTTTCCCTCTCTCCTCCTCCCTTTCCCTCTCTCCTCCTCCCTTTCCCTCGCTCCTCCTCCCTTTCCCTCTCTCCTCCTCCTCCTTGCAGCGCTTCTCCTCCTCCATCATCCGAGCCTTCTCCAAGCCAGTGGAGGGTATAGCCTGATGTGCGGTTTTGGAGGCACCTCAAAAATAAGTGCATGCGTACTGATTTACGCATGGGGGTGCAGGCTGACGTGGATGAATGCAGGACTTTCCTTCCCACTCTATTTTCTTCTTCCAATTTCCCCTCTCCCCCTATCCCCTTCCCTCTCTCCCCCTTCCAGCGCTACTCCTCCTCCATCATCCGAGCCTTCTTTGAGCGAATGGGGGTGCAGGCTGACGTGGATGAGTATTTCTACAGGGAGAAACTCAATGTACGTACAAACGATTATTGTTAAATATACCATGCATTATTTTTTTAAATATCTGCATTGGTGATTCTTTCGCTTGCTCACTTCCTTTCTGCCTTCTGATTCCATTTCCCTGCATATCCGTCTCTTGCCTCTTACCTCTCCTCATTCATTTCATGACCAATAGTATACTATGGCCCTGTTATCACCCCCCTTCCACAAGCAGTACAAGCCCAAGTCGCTTCTCGAGCAAGCAGTCCTGTCACTTGGTGACCCTCTTGTGCCGGTAATCTCTTCCGCATGCCCTACTCTTTGCACATTCTGTGCTATATTCTTTCCTTCCTCTCCTTGCATAATAATTTCCCTCCATCTCCCCTCCATCCATGTGTTGTCACAATTGTTTGCCACGTTCCATGTTTCTGTGACAATGCGTCCGTGCATTTTTGCATTTGCTGGTATTGGAATTGATTTCTCAAGCGAGTAGCACTGTCTGTTATTTCTTTTGGAGCCCTTTCATGGCTATGGCAGGTGGTGAATCAGTTTGACGTGGATGAAATCATAGAGACCTGGGATCTCAGGCTGCCACCTCAGCAATAAATCTCAGGCTGCGATCACCTCAAATTATTGTGGCAAAACGCAATGTGATAAATTTACCCCCTTCTTTTGCCGCCTGTGGTAAAGTGACCAAACATCATAGCTAGGAAGATATTGTGACCATCTGTAGAATAATCCTTACTATAACACATAGCTTCTAGGGGGAAGCATGAGCTTATGGGTTGGCGAAAGTTGGGGAGCCATGGCGTAGTGTGGATTTCGCGCATGTGCGACGGCATGGTAACCCCTTTTTGCCTGAGAAACAAGCGGCGTGGCAGGGGTTGGGGAGTGGCAGATGCTGCTGATGTCCAGATGCACGACAATTGCGAAGGTAACCAGATACGATGAAAACGATGATGTTCGCGTAAGTACCGTCGCGAGCATTCGGGTGATGTCGCAATTGTTGCCTGCATTGAGAGAATGACTCCAGTGGCCAATAAGGTGATTCACCATCCCTCGCGTGGCCACGAATGACTCGAGTGGCCACCAAATTTGGTGATAATGACTCGAGTGGCCACGCCAGGGGATTCTTGCTGGCTTTTTTTTTCACGGCGCATTACCCTACGGGGCTTTGTAGCCACGAAATTCCCCATTCGTGCGAGTGGTATCCTTAGGTAGTGTTCCGTTCTGTTCCGCACCCGAAAATTTCGCCCACACACTGTACACAAAACCGTAAAGAATGCACGACCAACAGTAGTTGCGCGGTCATTTTCGGCCCAATGCTCGACCAATGAGCGCGCGGTAAAAAAAATCAGCGATCATAAACTGCTCTGCGGGGGCATAAATGCGCGAACACATTAGTGACCGCGGGCAAGAAAAAAACTAAAACCCACTCGGAAGGCATGCCGTAAGCCATGGGGTTAATTTTTGGGAAAATATGCCACAAGTGGTTTCGATAATTTGTCTGATAAAAAAAACAGTGTACGGTCACTGAAAAGGGTGTTTTCACGCGAATGATAATAGGGTTCACGTAATCAGTCACCATTTGCTGGCGAAATTTCACGCGAATGGTCACACATGAAACTCCCGCCCGAAAAAGATAATACCCAAAAGGAACCTGGATGCATTTTCGGATTGTTCAACCCTAAACACGTAACTTGCCTGGTATTTAGGGTTGATCCGTTCCCAAATCGTATCAGCTTCCGATTGGGTTTAGTTTTTTCAAAGTTGACTGGTTGGTTTTGCGCGAGCGGGAAAATTTCCGAGTTTCATGTGTACTTGGCGGGAGTTTCATTTATTTTTGGCGGGAGTTTCATGTGTGACCATTCACGTGAAATTTCGCCAGCAAATAGTGACTGATTACGTGAACCCTATTATCACTCCCGTGAAAACACCCTTTTCAGTGACCGTACACTGCTTTTTTTTACCAAACGAATTTTCTATGCCACTTTGTGTTACTTGTGGCATATTTTCCTTTTTTTTTATCACCTTAGGGTAATGCGCCGTGAAAAAAAAAGCCAGCAAGAATCCCCTGGCGTGGCCACTCGAGTCATTATCACCAAATTTGGTGGCCACTCGAGTCATTCGTGGCCACGCGAGGGATGGTGAATCACCTTATTGGCCACTGGAGTCATTCTCTCGCCTGCATTCCTCGAAGCTTGACATTGTTTCCACTTTTTGGTTGGACTCCCCCAATGAGTCGACTTTACGCGAAGCTTGGCGAAGAATGTAGGTCGACGGAAGAGCATCCAAAAGCAGATGTAACACAGAACTTATGTTACACTCTCACCCTGTCCTTATTCGCCATGGGCGTTACCAAACGCGTTCAGAGCCTTTGACTCGCAAACCAGTAACACTGATAATGCGGCCGTCCAATAAATCACTCCCGCAAGCCGCGGAAGCATATAAATCCTGGCATCACGAGCGCGCCACTGACACCAGAGCGGAAGTTGGTTCCACCTTGCGCCTCGTCGCGGAGTTTTGGATCCCGCATCGTCTAACACGTTTGAAACAGCCATCCTAACGCGTTTCCTAACCTAGCACTGGCTGCCCTCCCCAACGATTTCTCCCGCCATCACCGCCCCCGTCGCCCATTTCTCCTTTTGAGAAGACTCAAAAGTCAAGCACTGGCTACCCTCCCCAACGATCATTCGCTGTTTCTCCTTCGCGTTCCCACAGTGTGCCCCTCATGACGAGAATCGCTACACCCCATTTGACGCCTGGTAGGATTAGTCCCCAACACGATCGCAGACCTAGAAGTAAGCTAGAGCGAATGTACGTTTCCGGAACTTGCGTTCCCCCTAATAGAAGAGTCCCCCTCCCCCCTCTCCCTTCCCCCCTTCCCCCGCCATCGCCCCTCCGCTCGCCACCCGCTCGTTCCCTATGCGGATTGCTGAGCGCCCCTGCTGCGCCTCTCTGCGTACGCACCCCCCTCTCTTCTCCGCGACGAAATGCATTGCATTATCGTCCGGCGCGCCGAGTCCGCAACGACTTTTGAGGCGCCTCAAAAGTCGCTTCCCTGCGTACACAACCCCCTCTCGCCTCCGCGACGAAATGCATTGCAATATCGTCCGGCGCGAGTCCGCAACGCGCGCGAGAGCGATTGACCACTCCGAGCGAGTCACAGTCAGCACATAAATCGACGACGATCGATTCCCACTAGCCTCACTCGCCCTTCCTCTCATTTTGCTGCTCGCTCATTGTCTCTCCATCTCGTCTCTTCACACCGTCGAGGCCCCTCCCACGCGACCCCACCCAATAATCTCTCCCGCCGGCGCTGTTACTACTTGTAGCAAGCCTCGGCACTGGTGCCTCGTCGCGACTTCCAGAGTGACGTGAGTCCCGGCGTTTCGACTTCTGACGCGAAAGAATCTCAAGTTTACCTCCAGCCGTCTCCTCTCCTCTCCTGCCGTCATGAAGCGCTACGGGCGGCTGTCTGGCCTATCTGGCCTCGGGCTTGGCCTCGCCGCACTCGTCGCGGGTGTCGTTGCCATCAGCTTCCTCGCGACCCACGCCACCGCTACTACTGGTGAGGAGGCTGACACTGCCTGCGCAGCGCAGCACCTCCTGCTGCTGGTGGGTACTGACTGGCTGCCATGCCATACCATACCATACCATACCATACCATGGCACCCAGCCCAACCCAACGGGCGCTCGCGAATGCTTCTCAGTAAGGCATGAGGTTCTCTCACTCCTTGCCATCAGCTTCCTCGCGACCCACGCCAGCGCCGCGCGGCACCTCCTGCTGGTGAGTAGTACTCACCGCTGTTCACGCTTGTGTCTGCAATCGTGCTTTTAGGTGCCATTTCGGCGCACTCGTAGTTCCTCCTCCTCTCCCCTCCTCCCCCACAAAAACAGACCATTGAGTGCTGTGTTGTGTCTTGAATGCTGTGGCGTGCCGCGTGGGTGAGTGCAGGAGTGTGGGTGAGCGCTGGAGTGTGGATGAATGCTACGGCCCAGTGGTTAAATGCATGTTCATAAGCAGTCCCTTCATAGTACTGGTTAAATGCCGCTTGCCCTAAATTTTCTCAAACAACCCATGATCCCCCCTTCCCACAGACCCCTGTGCCAACTTTCCTTGCGGGTCAACTGCACAGTGCATCGGGAACAACGACGGCACTCGCACATGCCAGTGCCTTGACGGCTTTTTCTTTAAAGAATCTGACAAGACGTGCATTCCTGGTGGGTGTTGGAATTTGGGTGAGCGCTGGGGTGCTGGAGTGCGGGTGTGGGTGAGTGAGTGCTCTAGTGTGGGTGAATACTAGAACACAGCTGCTAAATGCTCACTCGCTCATAAGCAAATCTTCCCCTCTACCAACCCGCTTTCCCCTCTACTATTCCTTGTTTGCGGGCAAGGCTGTTAAGTGCACGCTGATAAGCGAATCTTTTGATCTACTAACTCGATCTCTCTCCTTCACCACTAAACAACAGCCCATGACTGACTGACTTGCCCTGCAGAAATGTGCGCAACCCTTGATTGCGGGCAAGACGCAACGTGCCTCTTGAAGAGTGATGGGACTCGCCAGTGCAAGTGCAAGGAGGGTTACCTCTTTGAGGAGATTGGCAAGACGTGCAACCCTGGTGGGTGTTGGAGGGTGTGTGGGTGCGGGTGAGGGCTGGAGAGTAGGAGAGGGCTTGAGGTTTAGAGAGGGCTTGAGTTTTAAAGAGACCTTGAGTTTGGGAGAGGGCTTGACTTTGGGAGAGGGCTTAATTCTTATAGAGAGCTTGAGAGTGATGGGATGGGAGTCGCCAGTGCAAGTGCAAGAAGGGTTATCTCTTTGAGGGGATTGGCAAGACGTGCAACTCTGGTGGGTGTTGGAGGGTGTTGTACTGTGCTGATGTGTGGGTGGCTTTTGCGTCGACTCAAAATATGCCTCCGTGTGCCATTGTAACGAGGTGACTTGTGAGTCGACTCAAAAGTCTGAGGAAGGTTTTTTCTTCGAGGAGATTGGCAATACGTGTAACCCTGGTGGGTATGTTGGTGTGTCGGTGTTGGTGTGTGGGTGTGGGTGTGAGGGCTTAAAGTTTAGGGTAAGTACTTGAGTTTAGGAGAGGGCTTGAGTGTGGGAGTGGCCTTGATCGTGTGCAGGTGAAGGTTGGAGTTTGGTTGAGCTTAGAGTGTGGAAGTGGGCTGGACTGTGGGTGAGTGCTAGAGCGGCAGTTAGTATGTGGTCATATGAAAAAAATCCCTTTTTCTTACCGCCTTTTCTAGCTTTACCTTGGATTGGAACTACCAACTGTGATCCGTGCCATTCTTTTAAACCCCTGCCTGCCTTTCTTCTAACCCCAACCCCTGCAGGCCCGTGTGCCGTCATGGACTGTGGGCTCAGTGCGGAGTGCGTGCTCAAGGATGACGGCTCTGCCAAGTGCCAGTGCTGCGATGATGCAGGGCTTTTTTTTTTAGAATTTTTTAAAAAATAGCCTGCTTCTTCTACCCCCTGCAGACCCGTGTGCCGTCCTTGACTGTGGGTCGAGTGCGGAGTGCGTTGTGAAGGATGACGGCTCTGCCAAGTGCCAGTGCTACGATGACACGCGCTTCGACTCTGCTACCAAGACGTGCATCTACGGTGAGTGAGTGAGTGTTGCCGTGTGGTGTGGATGATGAGTGTGAGTGCTTCATGCGTTGTGAGGAAAGGCGGCGCTACAACCGACTGCCAGTGCTACGATGACTCGCGCTTCGACTCTGCGACCAAGACGCGCATTCACGGTGAGTGAGTGTTTTGACACGTCTCAAGACAAGACGTGCATTCACGGTGAGTGAGTGAGTGAGTGTTGCCGTGCGGTGTGGATGCTGAATGAGTGTGCTTCATGCGTTATGAGGAAAGACGGCGCTACAACTGACTGCCTTTGTTTTGATAATCCGCTCTTCGACAATGCTACCAAGACGTGCATTCACGGTGAGTGGTGGTGCCGTGCGGTGTGGATGATGAGTGTGTGTGCTTCATGCGTTGTGAGGAAAGGCGGCGCCACCGACTGCCTTTGTTTCGATGAATCGCGCTTCGACAATGCGACCAAGACGTGCATTCACAGTGAGTGAGTGAGTGAGTGAGTGCTGCCATGCATTCCGAATGGTCAAGCTTTACCCCTCCGGATACGGGAAAAGGGGCTCATAGGGAGGGACTCAAAGCGACTCATTCCAAGTTCCCTCACAACACACATCCCCTACTGTTCCCCCCTGCAGATGCGTGCACCCCAGTGGTCTGTGCTCCGCATGGAACGTGCTTTGAGCTGACTCAAAAGTCACCTGCAAATGCAACCTGCCTGCCGCATTCCAATTGACCTCACAACACCCCCTACCATTCTCCCCTGCAGATGCGTGCACCCCAGTGGTCTGTGCTCCGAATGCAACCTGCGTTGTGCTCAGTAATGGCAATCCCGACTGCCAGTGCCATGCTGGTTTTATCCAAGACCCAGTTCAGAAGACGTGCAGTCTTGGTGAGTGTTGGTTGTGAGGGGAGGGGGGAGTGCGCTCCAGTTTATTTCTTAGGGCGCCTCAAAGATAGAATTTGCTCAGTAATGGCAATCCCGACTGCCAGTGCCATGCCGGTTTCATTCAAGACCCGGTTCAGAAGACGTGCAGCCTTGGTGAGTGCAGCCCTGGTGAGTGCAGCCTTGGTGAGTGCAGCCCTGGTGAGTGCAGCCTTGGTGAGTGCAGCCCTGGTGAGTGCAGCCTTGGTGAGTGCAGCCTTGGTGAGTGCAGCCTTGGTGAGTGCAGCCTTGGTGAGTGCAGCCTTGGTGAGTGCAGCCCTGGTGAGTGCAGCCTTGGTGAGTGCAGCCCTGGTCAGTGCAGCCTTGGTGAGTGCAGCCTTGGTGAGTGCAGCCTTGGTGAGTGCAGCCTTGGTGAGTGCAGCCCTGGTGAGTGCAGCCTTGGTGAGTGCAGCCTTGGTGAGTGCAGCCTTGGTGAGTGCAGCCTTGGTGAGTGCAGCCTTGGTGAGTGCAGCCTTGGTGAGTGCAGCCCTGGTGAGTGCAGCCCTGGTGAGTGCAGCCTTGGTGAGTGCAGCCTTGGTGAGTGCAGCCTTGGTGAGTGCAGCCTTGGTGAGTGCAGCCCTGGTGAGTGCAGCCCTGGTGAGTGCAGCCTTGGTGAGTGCAGCCTTGGTGAGTGCAGCCTTGGTGAGTGCAGCCTTGGTGAGTGCAGCCTTGGTGAGTGCAGCCTTGGTGAGTCCAGCCTTGGTGAGTGCAGCCTTGGTGAGTGCAGCCTTGGTGAGTGCAGCCTTGGTGAGTGCAACCTTGGTGAGTGCAGCCTTGGTGAGTGCAGCCTTGGTGAGTGCAGCCTTGGTGGGTGCAGCCTTGGTGAGTGCAGCCTTGGTGAGTGCAGCCTTGGTGAGTGCAGCCTTGGTGAGTGCAGCCCTGGTGAGTGCAGCCCTGGTGAGTGCAGCCTTGGTGAGTGCAGCCTTGGTGAGTGCAGCCTTGGTGAGTGCAGCCTTGGTGAGTGCAGCCTTGGTGAGTGCAGCCTTGGTGAGTGCAGCCTTGGTGAGTGCAGCCTTGGTGAGTGCAGCCCTGGTGAGTGCAGCCTTGGTGAGTGCAGCCCTGGTGAGTGCAGCCTTGGTGAGTGCAGCCTTGGTGAGTGCAGCCTTGGTGAGTGCAGCCTTGGTGAGTGCAGCCTTGGTGAGTGCAGCCTTGGTGAGTGCAGCCCTGGTGAGTGCAGCCTTGGTGAGTGCAGCCTTGGTGAGTGCAGCCTTGGTGAGTGCAGCCTTGGTGAGTGCAGCCTTGGTGAGTGCAGCCTTGGTGAGTGCAGCCTTGGTGAGTGCAGCCTTGGTGAGTGCAGCCTTGGTGAGTGCAGACTTGGTGAGTGCAGCCTTGGTGAGTGCAGCCTTGGTGAGTGCAGCCTTGGTGAGTGCAGCCTTGGTGAGTGCAGCCTTGGTGAGTGCAGCCTTGGTGAGTGCAGCCTTGGTGAGTGCAGCCTTGGTGAGTGCAGCCTTGGTGAGTGTTGGATTCGGGGAGCCACTATGAGTGTGGTCTGGATGAGTGCTCAGCAATGGCGATCCCGACTGTCAGTGCGGTCGTGGTTTCATTCATGACCCGGTTCAGAAGACGTGCAGTCCCGGTGAGTGCTGGATGCGGGGGGGGAGGGGTGCGCTCAAGTCGATTTCTTAGGGTGCGGTCAAGTCGATTTCTTAGGGTGCGCTCAAGTCGATTTCTTAGGGTGCGCTCAAGTCGATCACTTAGGGTGCGCTCAAGTCGATTTCTTAGGGTGCGCTCAAGTCGATTTCTTAGGGTGCGCTCAAGTCGATTTCTTAGGGTGCGCTCAAGTCGATCACTTAGGGTGCGCTCAAGTCGCTTTCTTAGGGAGCGCTCAAAGATAGAATTCGCTAAGTGATGGCGGCACGTCTGACTTGTACCTCCGATCAACCCATGCATCACTTCCCTTCCCCTGCAGACATGTGTGGTCTGATTTGGACTGACTTTTGAGGCGCCTCAAACATCCTTTCCCTACTCTGAAACGCATCAACCCATCCTTCACTTCCCCTGCAGACATGTGCGCCGACATGGATTGTGGCCCACTTCTGAAACATCTCAGCTTTTGAGTCGACTCAAAAGCACTTTGAAGCATCTCATAACTCGTCTAATTCGCGCTCTCTACTTTGTCTCTGACCAATCAACCCATCCTTCACTTCCCCTGCAGACATGTGGGTTGATGTGGTGTGGACTGACTTTTGAGGCGCCTCGTGATCCCTGATGGAAGAACTCTGATCAACCCAGATGGAAACCCTGATGGAAAAACTTCTTTGCCTCACATAAACCCGCCCATCACTTCCCTCCCCTGCAGACTTGTGTGCCAACGTGGATTGTGGCCAAACAGCAGAGTGCTCCGTGAACCCTGATGAGAAGTCTACCCAGTGCATGTGTGGGGATGGTTACCTCTTTCAGGACTCCAGCAAGACGTGCATTGTTGGTGAGTCTGGGTGTGGGTGTGGGTGTGGGTGTGGGTGTGGGTGTGGGTGTGGGTGTGGGTGGGTGCTGGAGTGACTTTTGAGGCGCCTCAAAAGTGCTGGACTGTGGTGGGTGTGGGTGTAGGTGTGGGTGTGGGTGAGTGCTCCGTGAACCCTGATGAGAAATCCACCCAGTGCATGTGTGGGGATGGTTACCTCTTTCAAGACTCCAGCAAGACGTGCATTGTTGGTGAGTCTGGGTGCGCGTGTGGGTGTGTGCTGGAGCGTGGGCGTTGGAGTGTGGGTGCTGATGTGAGTGCTTTCTCCAGCAAGACGTGCATTGTTGGTGAGTCTGGGTGCGCGTGTGGGTGTGTGCTGGAGCGTGGGCGTTGGAGTGTGGGTGCTGATGTGAGTGCTTTCTCCAGCAAGACGTGCATTGTTGGTGAGTCTGGGTGCGCGTGTGGGTGTGTGCTGGAGCGTGGGCGTTGGAGTGTGGGTGCTGATGTGAGTGCTTTCTCCAGCAAGACGTGCATTGTTGGTGAGTGCGGGTGTGGGTGTGGGTGTGGGTGTGGGTGTGGGTGTGGGTGTGGGTGTGGGTGTGGGTGTGGGTGTGGGTGGGGGTGGGGGTGGGGGTGGGGGTGTGGGTGGGTGGTGGGTGGTGTGGGTGGGGGTGGGGGTGGGGGTGGGGGTGTGGGTGGGTGGTGGGTGGTGTGGGTGTGCGTGGGTGCTGGAGTGTGGGTGTGCGTGGGTGCTGGAGTGGGATGTGGGTGAGCGAGTGTGGGTGCGCGTGAGTCCTGGAGTGCAGGTGAGTGCTGAAGCAAGCCAGTTGATTGCGGGCTGAGAGCCAGGTGCAATGTGAAGAGTAACGGCTCTGGCTTAAGTGACTTTTGAGTCGACTCAAAAGTGAGTCCTGGAGTTGCCATGTCTCTACTTGCATGTGGGTGTGGATGACTGCCACTTGCAACCTGCTGCCCCTACTTTCCCTCGGAACAACCCATGTTGCCATGTCCTCTGTCCCCTCCTGCTGCAGACGTGTGTGCATTCAAGGATTGCGGGCTAAGGGCCAAGTGCAACGTGATGAGTAACGGCTCTGCTGAATGCCGGTGCGGGCCCGGAGGTATCTTCCGTGAATCCGACAAAGAGTGCATCGCTGGTGGGTGCTGGATTGTGGGTGCTGGATTGTGGGTGCTGGATTGTGGGTGCTGGAGTGTGGGTGTGGGTGAGAGCCACGTGTATGCCAAGTGGTTTGTGTACATGCTGGAGTGTGGGTGCGCGGGTGAGTACTGGGTTATGGTTGTGGCGGGTGAGTGTTGCAATGTGTGCGTAAGTGTTGAGGCACAGCCCATGATTCCCCCTTTGTGCAAGTGCACGTGTACTCGTGTTGAGGCTCACTAGTAGTTCCATCCCTTCACAAACCCGCTCTCCTTTTCAAGTGCAAATTGCGTTTAGTCCAACTCAAAAATCAACCCATGATCCACCCTTTCCACACCCCCACAGACGTGTGTAATAACTCGCCGTGCGGGGCGAGTGCCAAGTGCATCAGGACGGGTGACTTCACTCACTCGCCAATGCCAGTGCAACGACTGTTTGAGTCGACTTTTTAGTCAACCCATAAATCCCCCCACCCCCCCCCCACACCCCTCCCCGACCCACCCCCTCAGACGTGTGTAATAACTCGCCGTGCGGGGCGAGTGCCACGTGCATCAGGACAGGTGACTTCACTCGCCAGTGCCAGTGCAACGACGGTTTGGTCTTCCAGGAGGCTGACAAGACGTGTATTCCTGGTGGGTGCTGGAGTGCGGGCGAGGGCTGGAATGGGGATGAGCGCTAGGATGTGGGTGTGGGTGTGGTGAATGCTGAAGCAGGGTGGGCTGGTTGAGTGGGGTGACTTCACTCGCAGTGCCAGTGCAACGATGGTCTTGTCTTCCAGCCTGAGGCTGACAAGACGTGCATTCCTGGTGGGTGCTGGAACTGGAATGGAATGTGGATGGGCGTTGAAACGCGACATTGGGTGAGTGCCAGAGCAGGGTGAATGCTGGAGCAGGTATTTCAATCGCCAGTGCCAGTGCCAGTGCCTGTGCCAGTGCCAGTGCGAGGACGGTTTTGTCTTCCAAGAGGCTAACAGGACGTGCATTCCTGGTGGGTTGTGGAATGTAGGTGTGGAAGGGTGTTGGAGCAGGTATGAGTTGTTGAGTGTGGTGACTACTTGATCGTGGTGAGCTAATATTATCTTTTCTTTTCTGCTACCCGTGGCAGTGAACGACCCGTGCAAGGCAAGCGCAGTGAAGTGCGGCAAGAACTCCAAGTGCATTGTGAGGAACGGGAAGGGCGCTTGCGAGTGTGCGGACGGCTACACCAAGAAGAACAACCAATGCATTGGTGGGCTTTGACTCGTCTGTAAAGTGTCTTTTGAAGTACGGGTAGGGCGCTTGTGTGCACTGGTGAGCTGACCACCTTTCAAACCACTCGCTCTCACTTCTTCCCCCCCACCTCATACTCTTCCCCCTCTCCCTCAACCCCCACCCTCCACCTCTCCCCGCACTCCCACGCCAGCCATGTGCAAGGCCTGCCCTGCTAATTCCCAGTGCACAGTGGTGGGAGGAGTGGCGGGGTGTCAGTGCAAGAAGGGCTACACAATGAAGAATAAGAAGTGCACACGTTAAGGGACGGACCAAGTAAGCTTTTGCTTCTGTCATGCTGCTCTTGCAGCAGAGGCAGCTCGGCTGAAGCTCCTGCCTCGCACGCATTGCTGACACTCGCGTTCTTCCCTTTCACAGGCTACCCATGTTCTTGCAAGGCCAGCAGGGGGGGGGGGGGGGGGGAGGGGGTGGGGGGGGTTGGTGATGGAGCAGAGGTGCAAACAACTGCATGCGGTTGCTCAGAGGCCAGGAACCAACGTCGGCTGACTATTCGCTTGAGTCATTTAGTGCGTGTACTGCCAGGATGAGAATGCATGCTTGGTTGGTTGGCTTCTTGTACTTCTTTTATGTCAGAATGAGGAATGGATGATGCATTGATGTTGGTTGGGGTACATATAGCTAACCCTAAGTTTTGTACCCCCTAAGACAAACCTCACTATAGGCTACAACATTTGACACACCCCCATAGCCTAAGTGAGGGGTGTCTAGCAGAACCAAACGAGTACGGTCACAAGACCAGTCCAAGAAACGAAGCTCAGGGTGGATCACAACGTCACCACACAGTCTGAGCACAAACAACAGTGGCCACAAGGCCAGTCCAAGAAGTAACAGAGGTATATAGAAAGCAAAGTAAACAGTACACTCAAGCCTAAGCAACACGAGAACCAGTGTCAACAAGGCCTAACTGCACACAGCACCTCTGGTGGTCACAAGGCGGAAGCGCCTTGGTGAAGATGTCTGCAGTGTTGGCCTCGGACTCCACAAACTCAAAGCGAGCCTGTCCACGCCTCTGCAACTCTCGCAGAAGAAAGTTTCTGACGTGAATGTGCTTCACTCTGCTCTCCAGTCGTGGCTCTCGACAAAGGAGAATAGATGCCTTGTTGTCAGTGAACAAGGTCGGTGCAGAGCTCGGCCGCTCACCAAGGTCGGTGAGCAAGAAGGTCAACCAACGCAGCTCCTGTGCCGCCATGGCACCAGCGTAGATCTCAGCCTCAGCTGTAGAGGTCGAGACCGAAGAGGAGCGCGTGGACCGCCAGGAAACAGCTCCAGAACCCAGGCTGAAACAGTACCCCTGAGTAGACCTGTGAGTCTCAGCGTCGTCAGCGTAAGAGGAGTCACAGTGACCAGTAAGTACGACAGACTGCTGCCCTCCAAGAACTAGCCCCACGCCTGACGTCGTCGCTAGGTACTTCGCCACCCTCACAGCTGCTGTCCAGTGAACAGGACGGTGTCTCCCTGGCGCAACAAAGCGCGCAAGAACGCTGAGAGGGAAGGCGAGGTCCGGGCGAGTACAAGTCATCAGGTACATGAGGCAACCCACAAGCTCTGCGTAGGGACCACTAGGCTCGAACGGCTCGTCAGGAAAGGGTCCAGTGAGTCTGTGGTCAACAGCAAGAGGTGTGCGCTGTACTGTGGAGTGCTGAAGCCCGAACCGCTGAAGGACCTGCTGCACCATGTGCGACTGTGAAAGTGTAATGGTGCGAGCAGCTCTGTCCCTGGTGATCTGCAGGCCAAGGTAGTGGCGCAGCTCACCAAGATCAGTGCAGGTGTGTCTCTTCTGCAGTTCGGACTTCACGTGTGCCAAAGCAACCCTGTCAGGGGTGGCGAAAACAAGGTCGTCAACGTAGACCAGATTAAAGAAAGGTGTGGGGCCACGACGAACGAACAGCGACGGGTCAGCAGAAGACGGCTGGAACCCAAGGTCAGACAGGGTAGAACGCAGGGTGTCGTGCCACTCACGAGGAGCCTGACGAAGACCGTAAACCGGTCGCCTCAGCCTCCACTGGGTCCCAGGAGGGAAAGAGCCAGTGAAGGCAGAGGGACGACGCAACCAGACCTCCTCGTGAAGACTGCCCTGAAGGAAAGCAGTAGAGAAGTCGAGAGAGTGTAACTCGTAGTCTCTCTGTGCTGCTACGTGTAGTAACACCCGAAGAGTGGTCATCTTCGGGGTGGGCGCGAAGGTCTGAAAGAAGTCAACTCCCTCGCGCTGACTGAAACCTCTAGCCACGTAGCGCGCCTTGAAGACCGGAGGAGATCCCGGTGGCCGCTTCACCCTGTAGATCCACATGCCGTCGACTACGTTCGCCCCCGGAGGGGGAACCTCATCGACGTAGGTGCCTGTGGATCTGTAGGAGGCCATCTCTGCGTCCATGGCAGCTCTCCACTGAGAGGCCCAAGGCCCTGACACTGCCTCAGCATAAGTGCGAGGAGTCGGAATGTCAAGGGCGTCGGGGTCACCCTCAGGGGCGAGGAGCATGGCACAGAGATGAGGGGAAGCGGCCGCCAGGAACTCTAGCTCAAACTGCCTGTCCTCTAGGGCGTCACAGCCAAGGGCAGACACACCCCCGACGGCCAGAGGACTGGAAGGAGGAGCTGCCACAAGAGCGGTGGCGAAGTCAAGGCGGCGGGTAGAGGCAAACTCAGTGACTGCGGCAGTAAGAGCGGACACAGAGGCACGAGGGTGGGTAACAAGAGAGGCGAGAACACGAGAGAGAACAGGACGGTACGTGCGGTAGTAGTCAGTGACAGGAGAAGGAAGCGACACAGTGAGGGCCGACTCAGGAGGAGACGGAAGCACAGACGGAGACGGACGAGGTGGACGAGAACAAAGGAAGGCTGTACGAAGGTCAGTGAAGGGAACAGGAGACGAGGGACGAGCACGAGGGGAGCGACGAGAGGCCCAAGTCTGAGAAGGAGGAGGGGACAACGAAGACTGAGAACGAGGGAAAACAGCGGGAGAGGGGTCAGGAGGAGGAAGCGGAGGACCAGAGACGGGAGGAGAGGGGGAGGAGGAAGGAGAGGGAGACGGGAGACCAAGGGTCCGAAGACCCGAGACAGGAGGAGGAGACGGCAGCAGCTGCTGCTGCTGCTGCTGCTGCTGCTGCTGCTGCCGCGGCTGCTGTGGCTGCTGCTGCTCCAGCGGCTGCTGCCTCTGCTGCTGCTCCTGCTGCTGCTCCTGCTGCTGTCGCTCCTGCTCCTCGAGCCGCTGCAACTCTCTCTCCTCTCTCTCCAACTCCAGCTGCTCCTCACGAGCACGGCGAACACGAGCCTGGAACCTGGTCGGGTAGGGGTGGGGGGAAGGAGTAGTGTCCGGGGCAGCGGCAGCCCCAGAGTCGACCTCCGAAGCACCAAGCACACCACCCCCAGAGGCAGCACCAACACCAGCTCCAGACCCAGGCTCTCCAGAAACCGAAGGGACACCCTCACCCCCAGACGCAGCACCCCCAGACTCCGCACCAGCACCCCCAGACTCCGCACGACCAGTACCAGCCCCCGGAAGACAAGAGTCCTCTGCAACCCGCGGCTCAGCTCCAACTCCAGCACCCCCAGAACCAGAGACCTGTACAGGGACAGTCGCAGGACCAACCTCCCGAGAGGGAGCACCTGCAGGAGGCGGCGAGGAAGACTGTGGGGAGGGAGGCTGTACAGGGGGGGCTACCGAAGGGGGAGGGCTAGCCTGAGACACACCAGACGGGGCTGGACCAGGGGGGGGAGGCTGTACCGGGGGAGCAGGCGGGGGAGCGGCTGTCAGGAAGAGGGGGGGAGGAGGAACCAGGAGACCTCGACTGGGGTACCTGACGTAGTACGGGGTGGACTCCTCGAAACGGACGTCACGGGAGTCAAAGAACCGGTGAGAGGGAGGGTGGTAAAAGGTGAAGTCAGAGGAGTCCTCAGGGAAACCAAGGAAGACACAAGGAACGGCGCGAGGCGAGAGCTTGTCCGCGGAGGTGTCGCGGACAAGAGCCAAGCACCCCCAGACACGAAACCTCGACGCGACACCAGGGGACCCTGTCCAAAGACTGGTCGGTGAAGCCTCCGGCCGAGAGACGCGTGGCCAGAGGTTCAGCTGGTGCGCGGCGTACCTGACTGCGTATGGCCACAGGAAATGGGGGGCACGGGCGTGAGTCAAGGAGGTGCGGGCAATCTCCATGACCAGGCCTATGCGACGCTCAGCAACCCCATTCTGCTGTGGGGACTCCGGAAGCGTCCAGGACTGACGAATGCCCTGTTCGCGACAGAATCCAGCGAGAATGCCGGAGCGAAACTCGCCCCCGCGGTCGGAGTGGAGACAGCTGACACGACGACCACGAGTGTCCTGGGTGGTAAGCAACCACCTGATCAGCGTAGAAGTCACTGTCAGAATGTTATATTTGTCTAGCCTGCAGTGGGGTACTCTATAGCGAGTACAGCCCAATCTAGGGTTCCTATTTGTACTCAACTGCCTGCTAGTCGAACCCTCCCTTTTTGGCCTAATTTACTCGACATGGTATCAGAGCAGGTCGACCCTCCTGGGTCGATCCTGTGGGTGGGCCCACCACCTAATGCTTCCGCTGCTGTACTTCCTGCCGGGCGCCTCGGGCGCGCGACGAATTCTTCCTGCTGTAATTCGATTTTTTTTTTTTCTAGGGTTTCGGCGGTTTTCATCCCGCCGTGCGCTCGGGGCGCGCGGCGGTTTTCTGCACGCCGTGCGCCCCGAGGCGCGCGGCGGTTTCCCACCGTCGAAGCGCCCTCCCCCCGTCGCCGTCGACCCCGCGCGTCGCCCCCGACGTCTCGTCGCGACACCTTGGGGAGCCGCGCGCGGCCCCCCGCTACCTCGTCGCGACGCCGTGGGGAGCTGCGCGCGGCCCCCGCTGCCTCGTCGCGACGCCTTAGGGAGCCGCGCGCGGCCCCCCGCTGCCCCGTCGAGGCGCCCTGGGGAGCCGCGCGCGGCCCCCGCTGCCCAGAGGTGGCGCCCTGGGG